AATCAGCAGTTGCTGAAGTTGTGAACAATACCATCCATTATCCTGATCAAATTAACATTTGTAGAACATACCATCTAAATACAGCAAAATACATATTATTTTTGAGTGCACATGGAATATTCACAAAGGAGACCTTCCTCTAGGCTATGCTGAGTCCTATGGCAACTTAATGGTTTATTTTAATTACTTGCGGAGATCTAGCCTTGACTTAACTATATTTCTATTAATTGTATCTCAAGGTGGTATATTTCATAAATGTTTCATATAATTTTTCTCAATGGCTTTGCTCTTTTTTCCTTTCTATTAAACAAAAGCTTGGGTTTTTAAAACAATATTGTATTCAATCATCTTGTTTCTGATGACAGAATTCATTTATTAGTCATCACAAATGGTTCTAACAGCATCTGGGATTCTATTTTCCTCTATTCTTTAGCAAAGTAAAAAAAAAAATGTTATTATTAATCCTGTGACTATCTGGAACTGATTTCTCATTTCCTTAAAGGTGAGGATTTGTAGTGATGTGGAAGCGGTCATGAAGAGAAGGCTTTCCAGAAGGAGCGGGTTGACAGTTGCCCTTTGTTGGCTTGCTTAAGGAGCTCCCAGCAAGACAATAGAGAGCATGGTGAAAAGGGAAGGTAGTCATTAGTAAAATGCCATTTTACTCGTTATGGCGTTAATTTTGCCAGGTTCACTTTTAGGGCAGACTTGTGAAACCTGCCTGTCTTAAGATCCTTCTTCCAAGGTCCAAAGGTTTCTGGAATTTACTTTCCCTTCATTGTTACCTTCTTTCTCCTAAAATAAAACTTACTACAATATGATTGTAAGAGATGGTAAGAAGCTCTATGATTTCCAGTCATACTTAACACACTTAATCACAGCACCTTCCTGGTTTTTAGAAATAACTTGAAAATCAATTCAAAATGTCAGTTGCTTTAGTGTAGTCAGTATAGAAAGGAGGAAATGTGCAAAAGTCATGACTCTCTTGTCTCCAGTTTGGTCCTCTGGGCTTTGAGATGTAATTCCATAGAAATAGGTCTGTACAATTAGAGGGTTGGCTGCGGCTGTAGGCAGTTGAGTGTGTAAGAGAAAACAACAGGGGCTCTCGGGCTTGTGCGGCTGTTCATATCTTCAGTTTGGGTGGGATACTGGAACATTGACGTTTCGAAGGTAAGATAAGGGCCATAGATTTTATTTAGGTCATTTTACTACAATTCTAGTTTGTCTTTGATCGCACATGTATTATCATGCCATTCATAGCTAAAACTTTTGTAGGCAGTTTTTTAAAAAAATTCTCCTGTGTTCTAGACTGCTCTCTGCTGCTCAGTAGCCGTGAAACCTTCGGCAGATTACTTACTCTCTTTAGGTCTGAGATTCCTCCCTTGCAAAACAAGAATTAAACTGTATGTAAGAGAGTAGTTGTGAGGATTAAAAATAAATATTTATAGTTAGCACAATGTCTAGAATACATAAAGTATTCCTGAATTTTAGCTCTCATTATTGCTTCCTAGCAGAGTCCACAGTGTGCTAAATTTGCAAGTCAGCGTTAACGTAGTCCTTTAGCTGTGATCTAAGGACATTTGTTTTTACGTTCTGTGTCCTACATTTAAGAATGGAAGAGTAGAAATAATGATCCTCTAATAGCTAACAATGTCAAATGGTTTCCAAGAAGAGAGGCTGTTGGAACTAATTAAGACCATAGTCTTAAAACCAAAAACAGTTGTAAATAATATCTGGTTGGAAATAATACTTGTTTTCACTTGTCAGCATAATAGAATCAAACTTTTTCATAGTTGACAAAATAAAATGCAACATTGATATTCAGGAGCTGAGAATCATTCACATAATACACTAAGAAAACCCTCCAAAATAAAAACAGTAGCTTACAGCCAACTTTATATAAAGTAAGTCGCATGGAAAAAAAGAAAGCATAGGTTAGCTTTCTGTATCACTGTCACTCAACATACAATAAAATGTCACATCACCTAGAGTCTGAATTGTCAAATGTGAATTTTGGACTTTAAATGATAGTTTTTGAAAAAAATTAAATTAGTGTGTCATCACAGAACAAATGATTTTAAGTAGAATGCTATTTTATGTCAGTGAGCTATACTAATTGTTTTAATTCAGTTGTTCTAAGTAGGCTCTCTATCACCGTTGTTTTTATCAACTGTATTTTCAAAGGTGAAGATAGGCTTCAGCTATTTGAGTTGCCATTCATTTTTGGATTAACTGTTGTTGTTTTGAAATCAAATGTTACAGTCTTTTTGCTAAAAACCTCTTGGGAGTCCTGTCAGAAGTAGAAATACATGTGGAATGAGCTATTGATTACTGATGGCTCTTTGGACTTGCAATAGTCTAATACTAAAACTGGGATGTCTTTCTGATACACTGAATTTGCTCATCGCTCTTCACAAATCACAACACCTTCCCAATCCAGTTCAGACGTCTCCTCTTCCATGAGGTCAACCCTCATCCCCAATCCCTTCCTCCGGATTCCAGAGGCATTATACTTCTCTTTGTAGTTATAAATCAGGCCTTGCAGCACAATTATTTGTATTTCCCTAATAAAATGTAAGTGCCTTAAGGCACAAATTCATGAACACTCAGATAAACTCAACAGATCAATTATTGAATATCTTGTATATCCAAAGTATTATGCCTTAGGTATACAAATACGAGTATTACACAGCACTTGCCTTTGTCATTTTATTCCTCATTGTGCCTAGTCTTCCTCTTGACTTTTTTTCTCTTATATTTCATGATGCTCTCTTTTTTTTTTCCTCCAGTTTCTCTTGCCACTACTTCATAGTGTGGTTTTGTTTTTATTAAGATTTTATTGGGGAATTGGGGGAGGGGAGCAGCGCTGAGGAATCGGGGGAAGGGGAACAGAGAAGTTGCTGTCGTTTTGTTCTTCAGTCTAGTTGTGGAGGACGTTGCTTCACTGGCCCATGTTGGTATTATCATTGTGCTCTTCTTGGGTGAGGCAGAGGAGTCGCCGGCTTCTGGACGGCCGCTCACGGTAGCTTATGGTAACCCACTGCAGCAGGGGCTGCAGCCTACACAGTCGCCGGCGACTCAGCAGCCCAGCTCCAGGTCGAGCTGTTGTTCACCATCTTAGCTGTAGAGGGCGAGCGTCACTGGCCCTCAATGTGGGATCTGAACCGCAGCCCTGCTGCTCAGAGCTGGCGCTCCCAAGTGAGCTCTTAACCAGCTGAGCCACTTGGCCAGCCCTCAGAAAAATATCTTAAAGAAAACCCTGTCTTTCCCCCAGATTTTGTCCCACTCTCCAGGAAAGCACCTTCATGCACCCAACTGGCAAGCCAAAATCCTGGGAGTGATCTTTTTGACACATCTTCTCTCTCACTGTCCACATTGAGTCCATCATCAAGTCCTGTTGATTCTACCTCTAAAATATATTCTGCTCTGGGCTCTACTTGCTATAGCACTGCTCACACGCCAACCCACAGTGCAGATGCAGTGGCCCCTTTTGGCCCCTCTGGTCCGATCACCAGAATCACCACAGTGATCTTTTAAAATCTTAAAGCAGATCATGCTTTACAATCCCTCCTTGACTCTTACTAGTCTTAGGATAAGACTTAGAAATCCTCAACATGATTTCAAGACTCCATATAATCAGGCCTTCTTTTCCAATACAATCTCATGCTACATACCACCTCTGTAATACAACAATGGTAGCATTTTTTAAATCCCAGAGATTTGCCAAGTTCCCCCCCCACACACACACACACACAGAGATTAGGGTTTGTTCACAAGCTGTACCTTTTGAGAACCCCGTTCTACCAGGTGAAGCCCCACTAACCCTCTCAGCTTAAACATCATTTCCTCAGAAATGCTTTATCCAACCCCTCAGACTAAATTAGGTCCCATCTTCCTTATATATCTTGAAGTTTCCTGAACTTGCCCTTTATCTCACCTAAAGTAATTGGCAAGATTTATTTCATTAGATGGTTATTTGCTCAATATCTAGCTCCCCATTGTTCTTTAAGACTATTGAGGGCAAAGATCATGTCTGTTTTGTTCACACTTCAGACCTGGGACCTGACATATAGTGGAGAGTCAATAAATAAAGAGGAGATAGAAGTTCAAAAGCATATTGAAATGCTCTATAACAGAATGTGCTTTAAACTTAAGGCTATAACTTAACATATGGAAATAAGTTTCCTATAGCCATTTGTAGACCTCTAGTTCGTGACTAAACCAGGCTTTTGCTGTCTTTCTGACATAAGAGATTTTAGTATTCTTATTACCAAAGAATATATTTGACAATAGGATAAAATCTTTTTTATTAGTTTGATATTAAACATTTATTGACTACCTACTGTCTGGTACTGTTGGAGAAGCTTGGTATATAGCTGGTGTGATGCAGCTTACATTCCTATGGGGGACAGATAATAAACAAGCACACAGAAAATTTCAGCTCTTGAAAAATACTATGAACTAAATAAAACAGGCTAATGGCATGAGTGGGGTGGTTAGAGGAGTCATATCTGAAAAGGTAGCATGTGAGCTGAGACCTGAGTGACACGGAGTCAACTATTGGAAATCTGAGGGGAAAGCCTTCGAGTGCATGCAGAAACACTGAGGCAGGTACTGCCTGACACGTTTGAGAAGCAGAGGGTGGCCTGTGGTCCTGGAGCCCAGCGAAGCAAGGACGAGCACACGCATCTAGAGTTCGAGATACCTCGGCTTAAAGTTCTGACTCTCCCCTTACTGGCTATTTATCACAAAATGGAGACACTAGGAATGTTGCTAAATAAGATGATGAAGGTAAATATTAGTAATAAGGTACATCATTGATCATTTAAGCATAATTAATTAATCTAGCCTCCATGGAATTTATGTCAAAGAGAGACTAGTTGAGTGAATGTTCAACTAAGGGCTGTGTTTATGTGTTTAATAGTTTACTAATGGATTATGATTTAAAACAGTGTTGCTAATTATTCACAAACATTCATATTTACCTTGATTTCTCCTAAAAGGTTAAAAAGCTGAAGAGGGAGCTCTCACAGATGAAGCAAGAATTGCTCTATAAAGAACAAGGCTTTGAAACACTGCAACAGTGAGTATAAAAATATTGAAATTGACTTTAGAATAATTCAAAGCCCCTTAACTAATACAAAGAAAATAGAGGTACAGACTACCTCACGGATTTCCCAAAAAAACATAAAGCTCATAGTTCTGGACTAAAAAACAATCAACCAACAAACAAAAAACTTGGGAAAATCTATATACTTTGAAAAAATCTCAAGTTTTTATTCTGCATTGGAGATTCAAAGAAACCAAAGTGAAAAACGTAACTTTGTGTCCTGGCACCTGCCAGCGGCTGGAAGACTGAGGTGTGGAGCTGGTAGGTTAGGCACAGCAGGGCCTCTGCGCTTTTCTCTAGGGCCCTGCTGGGTGGGTCTCCTCCCGCTGCCCTGGGCCCAGCTGCAGGCGTCCCTCTGCCTCTGTCAGCCCCAGGCGTAACCTGGAATCAAACAGAGAACGATCTCAGGGAGCTAGTTGGGACTGTCAGCAGCGGAGCTTGAGTGCGTTCCTCATTTCCCCGGTGTCTTCTGTCCTTTCCAGTTGTATGCTGAAGTCCCACGGGCCCTTGTCATAGCTCTGGCTGAGCCAGGTTAAATGATGATGCCGATGACAGAGGGCTGCAGGAACTGGAAACGCCTGCCCCATTCCCAGCCCCTGGAAGCTGCCATTCTCCCTACTAATGAGGCCCAGCCTAACTAAACCCTGACAGGCTCATAGAGACTTCCAACTCTCACAATCCCCACCCACGGGGACTCGGAAGCAAGAGAGGAAGCTGATGGTTTCATAGCCACATGACCACAGAGAGGATTGAAGGCATTATCTGTTGAAAGGCAGTCAGCTATTTTTGACTCCCCTCTGTGGTACCATATTGTTTCAAAGCACTTTGCTTGCGTGCGACCAATTGTAGTGCCGTATTTATAGGGATTTCTCTGATCGGTGTCATGTTGTTCCCTGCATCTCCCTCAGTAGCAATCTAAGGCAGCAAGGCATCACCTCTTTTAAAGATCCTATGTGTTCGCTAGCCAAGCAGACATAAGCTGATTGTTCTGTATGTTTGGATGATGAATTATATCTCAGGACACCCAGTCACTACTCTTGACCACCAGCCATGTGACTTCAGTGTCAGACAGTGGTTTTATTTCTTTTTTGCTTATTCACCTCGTAATCCTCACCATGATATTCTTTCAGATGCTCCCATCTTAGTGGTTCTCAAATCTGACTGAATATTAAAATAATCTGGGGACCTCTTAAAAATAAAAATACCTTTCTGGTCTCCACCCCAGGTATATTTTATGAGTTCCCCCAGGTGGTTCTTAAGTATAGTTATGCTCTAAGAACTTCAGTTGGTTGCAGAGCTCCCCTAAAAGCTGGGCAGACCTAGAATGACACAAGTATGTTATTTAGTAATTATATGTCAACATAAAGGAGGGCTTTGCAGGCAGGAGTGGGGAGAGAAAACAAATTTTGAAGAGCACCACAAAATGTGTAGCCATACGTTAAACATTTTGAAGGCACGTGAAATTGTAACTCATGTCACCACCCGGGATTAAAGGTTAGCCAAACTTGCTGTTTTTGTTATATTGATATAACAGTGCCGTATTGTTTCAAAGCAGTTTGCTTGCAAGCAGTTTTTATAGGAATCTAAGGCATGTTTAAGAATCTGTCAATAACATTCCACAAGAAAACAATAGACATTTGTTGTAGAAATTCAGGCATTCTCTGGTAATGATTCTAATCCCTTGAACCAAGAGTAGAAAGATATGATATCTCACATCAGAGACCTCTCCTCGAGCTCAACTGTAGACAAAATAAAGCTGTTTTCATTCAAATATTAACCACCATACTACTAGAACATTGAATAATAATTGATTGAACCCAGAGACCATACTTTTTAAGAAACCACGTTCCGGATACTATAAAGGGACTTTTACTTGGGGTTATGACAAAATTTATTTCAAGAAAAGATTTAAACAGAGTCCCACTGCATGCTTTTGTAACTTTTCACTTATTCACAATACAGTGAAACATTTTTGTTGAATCTGGAATTACACTGTAGCTTAAACTCAGGCTTTCATTTCACTTGGTCCAGTAGTTCATACTGGATGATTGAAGGTGGTTTTATCCTCTACATTAATTCATTTCAGTCTGTGATCCAAAATTGACTTTGGCCTAAGCGAGGGTGTAGTTTAGATGTAGATGGATTCCAGGAAGAAATTTATTTCCACTTTGCCACCTCCATTGTTCACTCAAAACTGTAAAAGGGGAAATGATGAAACACCCAGAAAGCCAAAAGCATATGCAAATTCTATGAAAGTTTGGCTCTAGGGTACTTATTTTCAAGGGAAGTCACGCTAATCGTAATCCCTTCTCTTTCAGAAGAGACTAAAAAGATATAGGGGGAAATTAGTTGTAGGGTACACACAAACCAAAATAATTTTTTTTTTAATTTTAGGGGGAAATGTAAAGCAGTATTTCTCAAATTAAGAACAAAAATCACAGTACTTTGTTTTCAAAATTAGCAAATAATGCTAATATTTTATTATATTGTCAGTTATGGTCAAAAGAGAAAAAAGGCAGAGGATGAAAAGTGGAGAAGAAAAAGGAGAAACATGGAGGGAAAGGAAAAAAGTGACATTTAAAGTAGAGAGGTTCAAAGGAGGCAGAAGCAAGGAAAGAAAGACCAAAAGGGGCTCCCTGGTGAATGCTGAGCTGGGATGGCTTGTGCTTGTCATACTTAACGTTCAGTTGAGCCATGGCTACCCAAGACATTGTCATCTGTTTTTAAAGCTCTCTGAAATTTAAATTAGCAGTCCTAAAGTAGTCCTGCTTTTATTTTTAAATATTAAAGTTTATTTCTGAAAACAGCTTACCTGTTTTTTTAATTTTCAAATGTTAAAGTTGATTTCTGAATTAAAGGTTTGTTTTTGCTGTTAAATTCTTAAGGTTTTACTCAAATAGAAAGAAATTACTTGGGTTTTAGAAATTCATTTGACACAGTTTGAGACACCTATATTACTGGCTATTTCACGAAATCTCACAATTTTTTTTTTAATCAAAATAAGCCTTTGCCTCAACTAAATTTAATACTTAAGGAACCCAATGATTTCATTGATAAATCCCTTCCCAGGTGAATGAAATTAACCAATATTCAAAGTACTTCCAGTGTCTTAATCAAATCTTCTAAGTGTAATAGTCACAAGAGTCCCCAAGTCTTTTATTTTGAGGATAGTTACCTTACTAGCTAAGTGTTTAGGCAATTTAGGAGCTGAATTTGCATAAACTTTCTGGCCTTGGTTTCTTCATTTGGAAGAAGTGTGACTAGTAGATCTCTAGAGTCCCTTCCTACCCTAAACACTGTATATGTGTTTAATTCAGTGATTTCATTAGTTGTACTTTATTATCAAATGACCTTATGATGAAATTTATTTTATTTTCTTAGATTCTTTAAGACTTTAATTGCTTGTTCAGCAGCATAAAATATTTACTAAAATGGTACTTGGGAGAAATACATATCTATACGCTGCACTTGTTTGAGTAAACTTTGTTTGGAAGAGTGAATAAGACTGTGTGTGTGTGTGTGTGTGTGTGTGTGTGTGTCTGTGTGTCTGTGTGTTTTCAAATTGTACCCTTCACATTGACATAAATATAAATTATTAAATGTTTGAAACCAGATGAGCTCAGAGCCCATTTCACAGGTGGCTTTTCTCTGTGGATGTGTCTGAGAAGGAGAGCTGTTGACTGGTGGGGGTGGAGGCTTAGCCCTGCTTTCCCCAGTGAAGCCCAGATGTGCTCATAATGAACCGTGGGCAGCATAGGTAGTAGGAAGAACCAGTGGAGTGAGAGTGAAGAAATCGTTAAACCATTTGTTTGAAAGAATTAGGTAATTTGGTTGGGCCCTTCAAACACAAAGACTTTGGTTACATGAAATCCTCTGACATAGGGTGACCATGTGAACTGTAAGGACATTTGGTGGGCAGATCTGCGGGGGTAATAAATCAGCTCATTGAAGAGCTCTCTATTCAATGTTAGCTGACAAATGAACACATCTGCCCTTCTGCCTCACTCCTAGATTTGAACTCATTTAGCAAGGCAAGCAATTTTATCCCGACTCATAACTATTTCAAAAATAGAATGAATCCTTTTCATATATTTTAAAAGAAATGAGAAAGTAACCACATGATCCTAATTTGTAGGGTATTCACTAGTGTAAATAATAATCACTATCGTTCATTAAAGTCCTACCAAACTGTAGGTTCTGGTTTGGCACAAACATTCTGGCCTGGAAAATTAGGCAGCAGTGATGAATCTGTAGCTCCCGTGGTTGGTTGTCCAGTGCATTGGCACTTCCGTCCTTCTGTGAAATCATTTCCCCATGTCCTTAACCTTCCTCAGGGTGGAGATCAGATCAGCGTGTGATGAGATTTGAGTTCTACCAGCAGTGGGATCAACCAAACAGACTGAAGACAGAAAGACCGGGCCTGGAAATGACTAGAAAGGGCCTGGGTATGAGCTGGGGAACGGGAGCAGTCTTAGCTAGAAGTGGTTAGAAGAGACAGGAGGAGAAGCACTCAGCTTGAAAGGATGACACTGGTACATGAGGGTCAAGGAATAAGACAATCACAACTGAGACAGCCCCAAAACCAGTTCCTCCGTCTGTTTAACTTGTTCTCTGTCATTCTTTGATTTTTTTTTCTGTTTCTTTTTTTTCCCCCCTTTTAACAGAATTGATAAAAAAATGTCTGGAGGCCAGAGTGGCTACGAACTTAGTGAAGCCAAAGCCATTCTAACTGAACTGAAATCTATCAGAAAGGCTATTAGCTCAGGAGAGAAAGAAAAACAAGATCTGATGCAGGTATGTTACGGAACATTTTGTTACGTCAAACTACTACCTTCTGGGGCCCCAGAAACTCTTCTTGAGGCAGAAGTTCTCCATCAGAGCCTGGATGGCCTTTTTTCATACCCACCCCATTCACACAGAATTTAGTCCCATGGATTGTTCCAGTCACTAAGGCTGCCTTGGGAGAAAACAGATTGCTTTCCAAAGTTGTGATATGTTTATTCGAAGGCAGGCTTTGGATGGCCTGTGAGAGAGTGGGTGGTGCGTTCTCTTTTTTTAAAGATTTTTATTGGGGAATTGGGGGATGGGAACAGCATTGGGGAATTGGGGGAAGGGGAACAGACAAGTCGCTGTCGTTTTGTTCTTCAGTCTAGTTGTGGAGGGCGTTGCTTCACTGGCCCAAGTTGGCACTATCACTGTGCTCTTCTGGGGCTAGGCAGGTCAGTTGCCGGCTTCTGGACGGCCGCTCACGGCGGCTGCTGGCCACTCACGCGGGCTGCTGGCTACACACTGCAGCCCATGGCAACCCACTGCAGCAGGGGTTGCAGCCTACTCGCCGGCGACTCACGGCTGCCCAGCTCCAGGTTGAGCTGTTGTTCAGCATCTTAGCTGTAGAGGGCAGCGTCACTGGCCCTCATATGTGGGATCTGAACTGGGGCCCTCTGGCGTCCCAAGCCAGCTCTTAACCAATGCGCCACTTTGGCCGGCCCGGTGGTGCGTTCTTGATGGAGCCCATATACAGAGGTTAGTGTCCTTGTGCACCCTGCAACTCACGGAAAACTTCGTGTGGACCCCTGATAAGCAGGGTCATGTAAACCAGTGATCCTCAGCCCAGAATATGTAAAAGTCATGTCACCTGTCTTCAGTAAGTAGAGGATATGCTTTGAGGGGAGCGGGATCTTATGTAAGGATCTTAGAAAAGCCTCTCCCACCCCCGCTGATTCTGAGGTACTAGCTAGGGGTGGGGTAGAGAATGCTAACTCAGCAGGGGAATAGCTATATACAGAGGGTGCCAAGAAAATAAATGCATACACACATTTTAAGAAAGGAAAATTGTATTAAAATTGTAATACTCAATATATACCGATAACAAAAGATGAATACAAATCACGTTTGATTTCTGCAAGTACAAGAGGTGCTCAAAGTGGTTACCATCAGTGTAATTTTAATACATTTTTTTCCTTTCTTAGAATGTGTATACATTTTTTGACACCTTCTGTAGTTACTCTAGGAGATCTGCTAGTGGCAGTAGATCCCCTCGGTATGCCTGTATAATTCTCAACTTACAGATCTCAGCTCCCAATGACCCAGCCTCATCTGTAGAAAAAACAAAACAACCATTCAGTGATCAGTATTCTGCATTCTGAATATCTCTATTTAACAGATATAGTCAAGTGGGTTTTTTTAAGAGTGTATCTCTTCCTCCTGTTCCCCTCCCTCCATCCCATAATTATCACAAGCACTGAGAATTCTTTGTATTTCAGATATTTTGAGTTCTTTACCTAACTAAGGATTTAGTCTGTGTCTTTGGGAAAATGTTAGAGCCAGTGGTGAATTTGCATTCTTAATAGAACCTCTACATTTAACTACCATGTTCAACTACTTCATGTCAGTTTTCAGAATGCGAGTTGAATTAGGTAAATATTTTTGAACCCATGTAATTTTGTATTTGAGGAATTTGAAATAATTTGCAAGAAGAGATCACAAAGCAAAGAAAAGAATAACAATAGCAAATACCTGTAAGGGCTGACTTTGTTCTGGGCCACTTTCTGCGTGCCTCGCGTAGAAATAATTCATTTAATTCTCACAAGCCTAAAGATCGGCACTGTGATGGCCCTCAATTTATAGACAAGGAAGTTACAGCACAGAAAAGTTAGGTAACTTACTTAAAGTTACACAGCTGGTAAGTGGCAAGACTGGGGTTCAAACCCGGATAGTCTTGCTCCAGGATATGTTGTTTTAACATAAACATAACACACACGAGATTTTACTTGGATGTATTTTGTTTTTCTCCCATAGTGATCCTGCTGATTAAATCAATAATTCCTGAAATGCACATAATAGGGCCTTTGAAAAAAGTTAATGGAACTTGAACAAATTTACATTGGAATCTTATAATTTGGCAATTTGAGGTCATCTTTGATTCCTCCTGTAAACTTTTGATTCATACATAGGCCAGATTAAATTACAAGATTAGATTCCTTTTCTGTTACCAAAGTATATAAAATTATCAGTAGATACAGAAATCAACAATAGAGGTGAAAGGAACATTCGGTATCTTCTGTGACTTTCAAACCTCTTTGACCCTGACACACACAGTAAGAAATATATTTTACATCAAAACCCAGTAACACAAATATCTTTACCTGTAGATAGCACAAAACAAATTTCACAGAGGTATACCTGCTGTTAATACTAGTAATTTACTCTGATTTTATTTTCTAATCCCTTTTACTTCATTTAAAAACATACTGGTCATGATCTAAATTAATTGAGTTCATTGTCATCACAGGTAGTATTGAAAATACTTGTACTAATGTTTTTACTATACTAATGTAAAGTACTAATCTTTTCACTATGCAGATGAAAAAAATAGTAAAGACTTACCCAAAGTCACTAAAAGATTTCTTTGTTCTTTTCTGTGACATTATTTGACGTGACCATTTAAGTTTCATCCCTCTAGTGTATACATCCCTTTGAAAGAAAATAGAACAGGTTAGGTATAAAAATATATGTATCAGATCTCTGATAGTTCTAATTCCTTATCATGAGAATTTTCAATATCAGGATTAAATCTTAAACCAACTTCTTAAAGTTGATAATATGTTTCTTACCATTTTTATTAGTGTTTTGTAAGTTTGTTTTGTTTTGGGTAGCAATTTAGATAAAATTTTTCATACTTTTTGCCAGCTTCCCCCCTCTAATGTAAACTCAGTATTATTAAACCTGGTGCTGGCGGTAGGCACTTTCACTTTTGATTATTCACTTTACCAAACCAAACACGTCACTATAGGTGGTGCCATGCAGTCGCCATACAGATGGGCTCTGGTTCACTGCAAGTACTGTGACTTCTGGGCCTCAGTTTTCTAATCTCTCACATTGATGTGAGCTAAATAATCGCTCGGGTCCTGTCCAGATGTAAAATGGCATAATGGTAGAAGTCTTCTAAGTAAGAAGTTGTCTTGCTATATCTAAAATGAGATTGCATTATAGGTATTCTATGTTTTCATAATTTCTACTACACAAGTGAGTAGTTCTTATTAAAATAGAGACTTTTTAATGAAATTTAATAAATAAGAAATACATGTATTAAATATAAAGATACCATCATTCACAGGATGAATAATTACCAGGCCGTCTTGGGAAAGTTAAGATAGCCCGTTTAATATGTTCTCACATACTTCCAAAGTCACATGTGTGTATGCAAAATTATATTCTACTCTTATTTTTGCAATAATTTAAAGTGTTAAATACCTACTGAAATTAGGTAATCATTTTTTCCATGGAGATTATAATTTTACCTGGTGGGGAAGTTTTGCCTTCTTAAATGTTAAGCTTTATGAAGTACTTTGTGTTTCCTGAACAGAGTCTTGCTAAGCTGCAGGAGCGGTTTCATTTGGATCAGAGCATTGGCAGATCTGAGCCAGACTTGAGATCCAGTCCGGTGAACTCTCATTTCTCTCTCTCCAGACAGACCCTTGATGCCGGGTCACAAACAAGCATCTCTGGAGATGTAAGTGACCCGCGTGGAAGGGCTGGCCCCAGCTCTGTCCTTGATGGGCCTTAATTACAATATGGATGTGTGTTCTCCCATTTGGGATGCCATTAGCAGATTTTCAATAAGCTCCCAGTTATTTTCATATTCTAGTACATTTCTTTGAGTTTTGTGCTATAAAAGTAAAACAGGCACAGATCAACAGTAGGGCCTACCAATTTGAAAAATTAATTTTTAAAGTTATTTAGTTTATATTTTATGCAGTTGAAAGCTAAATGATGGAAATTTTGACTCATAAAGACAAGGAAATTAGTTCTAGTTCATAAATTTTATTGACCTGTACCCACTTCACCAACTCTGAGATACCAGAAACCTATACCTGATATTTTTTATCTTTTATTGAATGTGTGGAGAAAATGATGTTAAAGTCTTTGAAAGACAGACAAGCTTGAATTAAAAAGAAATGTTTTGCCCCTACTGAGACTATGAAGTAAGTGCCTTTTTAAAATGGTGTTCTCAATTTCAGTACCATCTTCTTTAGCTTTTCAATTACTTGTACTTCCCAGAAACAAAGGCAGTTTACCTTCGTTCATTAGCAGAGTTAATTGCCTTTTTCCCTTTTGTTTTTACTAGATTGGAGTGAGAAGTAGATCAAATTTGGCTGAAAAGGTCAGGCTGAGCCTACAGTATGAAGAAGCCAAAAGAAGGTAACAATGGGGCAGCTGTTTAGCTCAGTGGTCAACCGTGTTTTCTTTTCTAGAATTAATCTTTATTCCTATAGTGACCTCTGCTGGGCACTCCCCACACGTTCTTACTGAGTTTACCCTTCAGTTTTCTTAGAATGAAAGGGATGCAGAGGCCCCTCTCTCTGCTGGCTGTCTCTCCCCCCCCCCCCCAAAAGCTGAAGAACAAGAATTAATAAGAAGTGTGGGAATGAAATTGCCTCCTCCTCTGGAAGCAAGAAGCTTTAACCTTATACACTACTTACAATTAAATGTGCAAAGATAGAAACATGCAGAGGCCCAGGTATAAGACTTGATAGCCGTTGATGAGTTGTAAGGTAAATAGCTTTAAGCAGGTTCCTTTGCTTTGAAATGAAGACCTCTTGCTAATGTCCTTGAGGATACTAAGGTGTCTGTTCCAGTGACTTCAGGGAGAAGGAAGAGAAATCCTTGTTTGTCCTTTACCTCATAAACTCCTAGTAAACCCTCTACCGTCTTTTTCTTACCTTGTGACACTGAATGGGTAAGGCAGAAGAGACTTCACCATTCTTATCTAATAGGCAGGTTCAACTTGTTTTCATAATATCAGACACCTTGCTTATTTTGAGGGAGAGAGTCGTACCAATACATCTGATACCATTATTTTCCTTTTAAGAGTTTTAAAATGCTATTGATATATCATTTAGGAAGACACTGGGGGGGGGGGGGACTACATTATCACCCTACAAGGGACCGAGTAATTTATCGTGTTTCTCCCTGAACATGAAAAGCTCAGCTGAGAACCTGCTATAGAGTATCATGGTTTCGTACCATAAGAAAGACCATCAGATAGCTATAAAAGTATATCCATTGTTATTGGTGATGGTGATAATTTATAGGTAATTGGCCAAAGTCCTTAGGCATTATCTGGCTTTAACAAAGTAATTAATCGATCTGCCTAAATACAGTATTTGCTTCTGTATATCCTCTGTTGCTAATATTTCTTGGTTCTTCGATTTATTGCAAGAGCCCAAAGCTTTGTTCTATAAATTATTCACAATGTATGTGAGCTTGATCAAGTCACTTGGTCTCTCTCAACAACATTTTACTTGGCTAATTTTAATGCCTATAAATTTTACCGTGTAGATTATACATTTCTGGAGGTGAGGAAAATTTTTGTATGCTTTATTGTCTGCTTCACAATGCCCAGGGTAGAGCCATGCTCTCACTAAAGGCTGAGGATTGCTTTGTGGTTTTGTGACCAGTGACATGGAAGCCTCTGGTGGAGGCTTTGCAGCCCTCTGGGGGTGAGAACGCCAACCATTTAGCAGCTAGAACTCCTGGGTTCTGCTGTAAACAAAACCCAGGATTTGTGCCTGGTTTTCTGGAGGAGACTGGTCATAGCTCCGAATTAATTTTGGAGAGCCAGGCCTCACGCCCCAGGTTCTTTGGGGCTTCACTCAACCCGCCTTGGATCAGCTTGAGCTTCTGCTTTGCTCTGGATACTAACCGTTCATTCCATCCGGAGCTTGCACAGCACTTCTCATCCCAGGTGCTCCCCCAAATCTCCTTATTTTGTTCCCCAGACTTAATACACCTTTCCAAATAAAATTCAAGACCCACCTAATGCCTGATCACACTGGTCATAGGTGCCTTTCTTTCCTTCATTACGTTGTTGCTGCCAGTTCGATTGGTTAACTCAATCACATCAAGACGTAAGATGCTGGTTCTCTCCCTTTTGGTTGCATTGCTGTTCTATTACCTAATTCCGGGTTTCATTTTCAGGTTACTAGCGATGCTGATGAGAAGGTAAATCTCAAGGGTTTATGCATATGTTGAAAATGCTTTTTCTTCCTCGACTCTGAATACATAAAGAGGCGGGCTGTGTTTCTCTGAAACCTGTTTTCTCCTCCAGCCTTTGTTTTATGTGCTTAATGAAGCTAATAATATCATGCTTATTTAGCATTTTGATGATTAATTTTCCAGTACATTGAGACAGTTGTTTATGGTTTTGTGGTTAAAGCTGAAGAATAGCTGATGTTACATCTATCATAAATGCAGATGGTGGGTGAAAATTAGAAGTACATTCTATATGCAGTGCCGCTTTAAGATGGCAATTTTATTTCTAACTAAAACAAGAAACGTACAGCCCAAGAATGTGGAACTACTTCCATCTTTGTCCTGATAACGTTTTTTGTTCAACTTCTTTCTTCCCATCTACAACTGCTTCCATGATAAAGGAAAAAACGAAATTCCCCCTTTCTGTTTTTTATATTCTGGTATGTGCTGTAACGATATCCGAAATAATCATCCAACCTTATTTACAGGACCATGGCGTCCTGTGCCATCAACAGTTGTGTTCATAATTTATCTTGATCTTGTGCTTATTGTCGAAATAGCCATGTGCCATTTATTATACCTTGTGAACAATCCAGATTGTCCTCGCGGTGCCGCTTGTCCTCGCGGTGCCGCAGAGTGAGTTTTTTGATTCAGGTGGTCAGAACATTCTTACTGAATCGTTTAGTATGAAGCTCTGAGCAGAGTGAAACCTGAGGTTGGGCAAAATTATGAAACCGGTGAAGTGTCCCTTTGCTGCTTTTTCCTCCTCCTCCTCTAGTCCCCGTGGCCTCAGTTCAGCACCTGTTGTCACTCTGGTGGTGCCTGCGCTGCTGGAGGTCCGCCAGGTAGTCTGCTCCTGTGCAGCCAAATGACTGCTGAGGAAAACCAGGCCGAATGCAGTGATGTCTCCAGTGCCAACTCAATGAATGGTGTAGACACCAATCAACACCCTGATAGGGAAGAGATTTCACAGTGCACAGCTTAAGGAGAATGTGGGTGGAAGAAGCCAAGCCTTGTCCCCTTTTCTGAGCGATGGTGGAGCCTTGATGGATTGACTGTTTTAATACCTAGTGGCCAATCTGCTGCTCACCCCTCTCCCTCTCCCTCCCCTGCCTGGCTAAAATCCTAGTTGCTGCCCAGCCTGCCTGGGGACTGCCATTTTACTGGGGGACAGCATCTTTTCCTACAGGAACAAAATCTGCCATAATGGCATTTAAGGCATCACTTTCCTCAGTTTTTTGTTTTTTTGTTTTTTAATGGAAGCCCTCCAGCTATTCCCCCTGTTGCCCCACACTGGCAGTTGCACATCAGGGCTGACCTGCACAGGGTTCCCAAAGCTCTCTGCTTTTTAAGCTTCCGTGTGCTTTGACCTTCACCCTTTTTTTCAGATAGGTGAGTGTGCTCACTCATATTTTAAAGGTGGGAAAATGAAACAGTTGACAACTAAGTATAGAGTCAGGCCCAGAGACTAGGGTATAGGCTGTTGCTCTTATTCATACCAGGTGAGCACACCTTTCTCTGGTAAGGTTCACTGAGGAAATTCATCTTTGAAACCCCAGACCTAGCATGGTTTGTGTTTGCCCTTCCTTGGGGTTTCTAAGTATGTGCACACCTCTTTTTCTCTCTTTATTTTAGTATGGCCAACTTAAAAATTGAATTGTCAAAATTGGACAGTGAGGCCTGGCCTGGGGCGCTGGATATTGAGAAGGAGAAGCTGATGCTGATTCATGAAAAAGAAGAACTTTTGAAAGAGCTTCAGTTTGTCACTCCGCAAAAACGCAGTCGAGATGAGTTAGAGCGCCTGGAAGCGGAACGGCAGCGGCTGGAGGAGGAGCTGCTGGCAGTGAGGGGCGCCCCCAGCCAGGCTCTGGCCGAGAGGTGGGTTTTCCTCCCTGGGGAGGACCAGTGAGACCTGTGGGTGTGTCTTAGCTGGGCCTGCTTGCCATTTCCCTGGTCTGTGGAAATCTCGGTTGCATCTCTCGTGAGTCACCTGAGCATAAGCACAAAAGGACTTTCTTTCTGTAGAGCAATAAAGCACATCCTCCTGCTGTCCCTCAGTGTCAGCTCTCCTGTGTTTGCTAGGAACGTGGAAATGCCTGTGACAGACGCTGAATAACTAAAGAATGTTGACATAAAACCAGGAATGCAGTGCCTCATTGACTGAGTCTGATAACAATAGCCATAAACTGTTGCACTCCGATAAGAAAGATTATCTGGACTGTTTCAGCAACTAAAGCTTCCTATTCTGGGTTTTATTACTCACAAGAATGCAGAAATTTATGGCTTTTCATTTCATGAGGAAAGGACAGGTTGCTGCTCTCTTTGACATCTTAACAGGTCACAAAATGTTCAGTTGGATTTTGTTTGTCCTTTGGAACCCTCTTCTGAAGCAGGTGAAGTGCAAACACTAAGCAATTTTCTGATCTCTGTAAGAATGTGTAAATTGATCATTTAACCTAAAATACCAGTTCTGCAATCAGATCAGCTGGAATATAAAGCAGGGGATGCTCTGTGTGGCAGTTTGACAGGTGCACATCTGCACAGGAGGCCTGTGGCCATGCCCTGATGACTGACACAGGTGCACACACCTGTCTCAGCCTGAGAGCACGTCGCCCTTTAGAACCACCGCACGTCCTCAGGCCAAGTGAGGAATAGTGCCTGCCCCAGAATGACAGGAAAGAAATTCACATGCCTATAATTCCAAGTGACCTGGAAGTAAGTTCATAATACCCAGCCACAATGCAATGGCCTGTGTATAAAACACCAGTCATCTTTTGTGTGTTATGTAGCACTTAATAAATGTTATATAATCACAAATGTCTAAAGCACTGAATCCATCTCAGCTGCTCTGCTCTGTAGTATGTGAATCTGGGCAGGGCCTGCAAACAGCCCTTAGATGTGTTCTGGAAGAAAGAGAAAAGAGGCATTTGCTTGTTTGCTTTAATCAGCTTTTACAGGCATGATGTCTTGTCTTTTTTATTAGGGTTAGAGCTTCGGAAATGACTAATGAAGTAACATTAAAAACAGAGTTTATTCCTAAGTGCCTGGACATCAGCTTTTAAACTTTTGTTTGCACACGTATAATAACTGTCAAAACTCACATGAATTTTCAGCCACTATGTGTGATCCTAGATCCTATGAGTAATCTCTGCCTGGCCTGCCATGTTGCAAACTCCTAGATGGCGGCGACTGAGCTCGCCCCCTAGTGGTGGTAACGCGCATGGGCAAGCAGCCGGCTCATTGTGAGAGATCATCACCAGCAAAGAGAAATTGCTCTCAAATGAAAAAAAGTCATGAAGCGTAGGATTTTTACACATCTTTCATGCTCTTTCCATACAGTTGTTGAGATTCCTTAAAGTTTGTGCTTTTCTATAGCTGATAAAAATCTTAACATTGCTCCCTCCTTTTTACAAATCTTAGAAGTTTTGTCTTACATCTTGCTAAGATGTCTTAATTACTTCTTAATTATAGTCATGCGCCGCATAACAACATTTTGGTCAACAATGGACCACATATACAATGGTGGTCCCATAAAAATATAATGGAGCTGAAAAATTCCTATCGCCTAGTGACATTGTAGTCATCGTAATGTCATAGTCCAATGCATTTCTCATGTGTTTGTGGTGATGCTGGTGTAAACAAACCTACTGCACTGCCCGTCACATAAGACAGTATAGCACATACAATTACATACAGTACATAACACTTGATAATAATAATAAAAGACAATGTTACTGGTTTATATATTTATCATACTATACTTTTTATCATTATTTTCGAGTGTACTCTAGAAAGAGTACTTTAAAAAAAAAGGTTTGCTGTAAAGAGCAAGCTTTTTTAGAGCACTTAGAAAAAGAACGGTATGTCACATTATGCCATCAGTAACCCCATCCATCTCGTGTTTACCAGTCTCTTGATTGCATCAGCTTCTCTTGTTCTTGATTTAATCTTGTGGTGTTTTGTACAGTAACATGCTGCATAGGCTTGTAGCGTAGGAGCAGTAGGCTCTACCATGTAGCCTAGATGTGCCGTAGACTCTGCCATCCAGGTTAGTGTAAGTGCACTCAGTGATTTTGTACAAATGTGAAGTCCCCTCACAACACATTTCTCAGAACACATCCCCATCCAGTGACTCATGATTATAGAGGAATGTTTTTGCCACTGATTCTGAGAAAAATTTTAAAGCAAGTAGGTGGGAGATATGAATGTCATTTATTTCTTAATGGAAAAGGAACTTACTGTTTCTACAGGTGACGTGAAATTGTCCCTCGGTGGAGAGTTCTGGGGAGGGGGGGTCTGAATCAGGAGAAAGCAGGCAGGTGCTGCTCTCCCTCAGGGCATCATGGGCAGGTAGGGGGGTGTGAATGCCCGACCTTGTCTTGCAAAGGGCAGCTGAACAGATGGTGTGGAGCAGCAGGACCAGTGGGCGGAATCTTTCAGGAACCAGACTGGAAAGATCCTTTCCCACCCAGCAGGAGGACTAGGACAGAGATTGGAGACGGGCTTAGAGAGATGGATATGCACCCTCTTGAAGGAACAGTCTGAGCAATTTCTTCCAATTCCTGGTCCAGAGGAATTTGGGAGTTCGCTTCCTGAAAAGAATACCAGGAATCTGAGGAAGACTCCCAGCTCTCACCAGGAGAGGCTGCGGTAGTTCCACCAGCGACAGGAGTAAGGGTGCTTGACGAAGGATAGCCACAGCTGCCCTACCAACAGGGCTTCGGTGACTCTCCCCATTGTCCCCATTATGTTTCTCCCAATCAAGGTGTCTGCCCACCAGAAGGGAATCCTGGGGAGGGCGCCGGGCTGTTGAGGCAGCCTGAGGAAGGGGGAGAAAGAAAGCGCCAACGCCGGCCTTCTAGGAGGCTGGGAACATGTGAACAAGAACACGAAAGCCAGGCCTCAGTCGTTCACCGTGCCCGTGTGATGGCCGGAAGGCCGCGCCTGAGCCGTCGCCGGGAAGAGGGGACCATCTCTTGTGACTGGGACAGGCAGAAGCTTTGGATTTTGAATTTCGGCGTGAAACACTAAGTCATGACTGAAGCCTCCTTAACACACCAGAAAAGCCTTCCTTTGTTTGTGCAATAAATATTTAGTTTTAAAACTTACTTTTAAAGTGCTTTTCCTATTTCACAAGACATGAATTTTTTGTAGGTTTTTGGGTTTTCTCCAGACCTTTATGTACCTTCTGATTCAGTTAATCTCATTTGTATTAATATTTTTCTTTGTTGAGTTTTTATTTATGTTTGAGGGATTAAAAAATAGGGACTGTACTCCTTTTCAAAATACACCTTTGAAAGCTGTGAATTAAGAATTTATCACACTTTGAAGTACTAAACAAAATGACAAGAATTACCATTTTTATTTTAACATATAATGAAATTGTATTGGTGACACATCAAAGGATAGATACCTATAAATAAAATATGGGCATGTTTTCTTACTGCCTGAAACAATACATAACATTTCAAACAAGTTGAAAATAAGGGAAATTTTATTTTTCCCCAAAGAAGCAGCTAATTTTTATATCACCACCTTGCAGGTCATGGCGAAGCTTTGAATGAGGAAGGTTTGTTTTGATGTCTGCAGAGTGCTTTCACATACACGCTCACCATGTGATTCCTGTAACAGCCTGAGCAAGCAGACACACTAGGATGATAACCACCGTTTTACAGATGAGAAAGCTGAGACCTGAATTAAGAGATTTTCCTAGAGATACACAACTAGTACAGCAAACCCAAGCCTAGAAATTACAGTGGTTTCCTGGGTCCCCTTTTGCTGCTCTTTGACCACTGTGAATGGGTCCATTTCCATGATGTCTGAAGACCCTGTGAGATGACCTAGAAGATGCTTGTGCAGGCTCCTAGTTGCGTAAACCCTTGGGTGCTTAATAAATAACTCCTTCAAGTACACACTTCCATAATACTCTAATTTTTGAAAAACGTCAAACGCTAGTGCCATTGAATTCAAGAGGGGGAAATTTCATGATAATCTGGTGCAGGTGAGGAGATATACTGTAGATAGCACAGGACATTATTTTTAATGTCTTTTCCTTGCTGAAAGAGCTCAGAATAAATTGTTTCTTAATTGCTAAAATGCTCATCAAATTTAAGATCGGAATTTTTATCACTAGATACTATTGTAGAATAGCCCCTACCAGATTCAGTACCTAGGATGATGTTTTATAATTCTGATTACCATTAAATGTTTTAGTCATGTTAGCCTAGTCACAGGCCTGTAGAAGTCTGTAATCCTTTTTAGTTTCTTGTCATCTTCCTCCTCACTATCTTTCCTTAACTTATAAGAGGGTGAAGTTTTTTTACCCATTTAGGAAAATTTTAGGAAACCAAATTTTAAAAATTTCCAGTTACGCTGAGATTTGGCATAGACCCACCTTCATCAGGCTTGGCCCTGGGCCCTTCCTTCTGCCTGCTTTGCTTCTTGCTGGTGGTTATGTTTCCTCTTTGTTGAGTTTATATGGGTTTCCCCCTTGTGGCACATAATGTTTATATAATAAGAATCTTGCTTTTCTTTTCCTTGAGTTTTCATGGTTTATCGTAATCATTGAAATATATAAATTCATTTCTGTGTCTTTTTTTTCTAGATTGAAATTGGAAGAGCGGAGGAAAGAGCTGCTACAGAAACTTGAAGAAACTACTAAGTTAACTACTTATCTGCATTCACAACTTAAAAGGTAAACCTATTTGGTTCTTGAAGGGAAATTTTTTCTTGACTACATTCAGGCGTGTTTTCATTCATCTTTGATTACTTTTCTGTTTCTGTTCAGCTATTTAAAAGAAAATAAATAGTTATACCAGGACAATTAAAACTTGGGTGACCAAACTTAAAATTGCATAGATTTTTTTTTTTTCTATGAACCTCAAGGTTATGTTTGCAATACATTTGAAATACGTTATGGGAAGAAGGTATATTTTAGCTTCAGTACGTATTTAGGAAAATGACACATTTTCTCCACATCATCCCTCCTTTTAAAATGGGAGGATGAGGGAGATTTAGCCACATATTCACTATTTAAATATGCACCCAGAGAGAAGAAGAATGGTGGGTGAGTCCAGGGGCCTTCGTGTAACCTCTTTGTCTTCATAAGATTGCTTGTTCCTCTCTCAAAATAATAAGTTTTATTTGTTAAGTAAAGTCACTGCACTAACACTTTGTACTGTTTACCCCCCCCTTCTATATTTTTAAATTGCATAGTTGCTTCTGGCTGTCAATGCAGATAGATTTATCAATAGGTATTTGATCTCTCCCCTCCCCCCCCTCCTTCTTTGTAACTTTTGCAAAAGGGGGATGATTTTTAATGAGGAGGATTGCTGCTTAAAGAGTATTTAGAGAGCCAGGTTCAAAATGTTCATGAAAACAGCCTTGAAGTATGTGCTGTCACAGCAAGCTCCTTTCCCCTGCCATTGATTATGTTCTTTGGCCTCACTGGGTTCCTGTCTTCTGGAGTCCGAAGGAGCCAGCAGGGGTTGTGCTTGGGTTTTCCGTATCATGGCAGTTTTCACAACATGTGCTTTTCTTCCCTCAGCCTCTCCGCCAGCACCCTGTCCATGTCATCTGGGAGCAGCCTGGGTTCCCTGGCTTCCAGTCGGGGGTCTCTGAACACCTCCAGCAGAGGGTCACTCAATTCCCTCAGCTCCAGCGAGCTCTATTACACCAGTCAGGGTGACCAGATAGATGCGGATTATCAGTATAAACTGGACTTCCTTCTGCAAGAAAAGGGTGGTTACATTCCTTCTGGACCCATTACCACCATCCATGAAAACGAAGTGGTCAAGTCCCCCAGCCAACCAGGCCAGAGTGGTCCCTGTGGGGGGGCTGCAGCCGCAGCGACAGGCCACACTCCCCCACTGACCGAGGCCCCCAAGTCTGTGACGTCTCTGTCCTCAAGGTCCTCTCTTTCCTCCTTGTCCCCTCCTGGCTCTCCCTTGGTTTTAGAAGGCACGTTTCCCATGTCTTCTCATGACGTCCCTCTCCATCAGTTCACTGTTGATTTTGAAGACTGTGAATTGAGTAGCCATTTTGCAGACATTGGCCTTGGTGAAAATCAGATATTGCTGGATCCTGATTCAGGAGGCACGTCCCAGTCACTTTTAGAGGATAAAGACCTCCACGAATGTGCTAGGGAGCCGTTCTATGAAGGAACTGCAGGTAAATGGAGACCTTTGCTTTCATGTGTTCCCTCTTCGTTATTTTAAGGGAATGACTGAAGTGTTACTTTTTCCATATGAACAAATGGTACTAGTCCCCCTTTTCTTTCTGCTGCTCTTTTTTTGGCTTCATTTGAGGAGTTTTTAATTGATATATCTAGTTATTTTTTTCTTTATCAAATAAAAATCACATTCCCTATGGAATAATTCAGTCATTAAGTATCTGTTTTGTTGTTTAGACACCCTGTGTATTCAGCTAACTGGGAACATGCTTTGTGAACGCACTTCATACTTCTAAACAGATTCTGGTTCTTAAAAAGCAAGGCAAAGAAGAGCTTTTCAAAAAAAAGTTGGCCTAAAACAGAATAAAATCAAAGCAATTAGCATACTGGCTAATTAGTACCAGGGTTCAATGCTTAGGTTGCTCAGGGGATTCTATATGAATACGATTTTTGCTTGGTGCCAGACTCTCCCTTCCTACCTTGAGTTAATTTGGAGAGAGCCGGTTCCTGTGCATAGTATTACCCTGCCATCTTCTGGCCGTATCACTAGTTGCAGCCGTAGAAGGAGCAGCGGACTGAGTTCTTACTCCTGCATTTGTACTCAAAAGTGACAGAAACAGAGGGAGAATTTATTTTTTGTGTAAATGTTTTTCTTTGAGAAGCAAAAGCTGTTACTGTATTAGCTGCGGTTGTGAAGAGGACGACAGCGTGGCACCCCTGTTGTGGTCCGAGGAGGGGGCCTATTCGAGAGGTAGCCTGAAATGAAATACGAAGTGAGAGCTTCAGTGCTGGCCCTGGGAGCCCTGTTGAGACCCGCACGTGTTACCCTGTGTCCACAACACGGGAAAGGACCGGGCTCTTACGGTGTATTTTCTTGCTGTTTCAAGAAGCATGTTTGTTTTGTATCTATGGTCCTACGAATTCTAAGTATTACTTAATCGGTCAGTTCAGCCGTTTAAAGAGCGAAGAATCCATCTTGTTTGTGTGATTTCAAATACTGAAGACAGACTGCCTGCCAGTGGCCTGGGGCGGAGGCAGAGGCAGAGGCAGGGCACAGGAGACATCTGTATGGTTTGTGTGCCACTACCTGGCAGGTGGCGAAGGTACAAGTCACGTGTTACTAAAATAACCACAAAGGAAAACAGCATGAGAGTGGGGCTTCCAGAGTGGTTCCAAGACAGCAAAGCAGAAACCCCCTGTGGTCACATTTTGGTTACCCCGTTGACTGGCCGTGTTTTGGTGAGCACGTTACTCATTCTCTCCAGCTTGCTGTCCCTCGTTTGCAAAATGAGAATGATACAGTATGTGCCTTGTTAGGGACGTGGGAGGACTAATGCTGTAATCCCTCTGCAGCATCTAACGGTGCCTGGTGCCTAGCACTCAGGCCATGGTAATTATTATTACATGTGACAAGTGATACACACTCTGCTAAACGCATTCCTGCCACAACCCACTGAAAATTATGAATGGAGGAAGGAACAGGAGAGAAGACAAAGTGGAGTGGTTTTTGTGCCATTCTTCTGTACTTTGGACTTGAAGGGCCTTACTTATATTTCTTGAACATTTCAAAGCTGCATTTGCTCCTCATGTGTTTGGGGTGTTCTCTAGTGACCACTTCTCAACATTCAGTCAACTTGGAGGGGCCAGTAAATGAAGCCAGATGCTGGAGAAGGGGAGAGATCAGCAAGAACGTCACTCAAAGTGCGTCCCCACCTAGGGGTCCTGAGACCCGGGAAGCCCTTGTCCTGCCTTGCCCCTGACCCTTGGGTCTGCGACTTACTATGTCTATCTGAGAAGCCTGCGTGTGCAGACTGGTGTCTCTGAAGCTTCCACGAAACATATAAGTTTATATATATATGTAAATTCCACAAAATATATGCCTTTTAAATGTTCAAAAGTCACCCTAAGGAAAAATATATCTGAGAGCTTTGTATGCAAATAATATTCAGTTTCATGTGTGAAAAACAACTGAAAGCATGTATGTAACTGTAAAGACCAATTCTCTTCAGGTCAGATCCGCAATGCTTGGTCTATTCAGGGAATGTCTGACCATGGCAGTGACACTGTACATCACCCTCAGTGCTATAGAATCTTGATGCTGGTATAGTTGAGCTCCTTTCATAGACATTTTGCTCTCCAGCACCAATCCCTGCCAGATGACAGAAACCAAGCTAGAATAACTACGAAGTCCTTCTACAGTCAGTCTCTGTCATTGTCGAAGTCAATTTCAGGCTGCTGTGGTTATTCCTGGGGGTAATCAATAAATCATGTCATCACCTTCACCCCTCACACAGGGGGGTGGGCTGAGAGAAGGCACTTCATCATCAAGGAAAAAGCATTCCCACTGCCAGCAATCAATCCTGTAATCTGAAGCCTTAAAACTTAAACATCTTAACAAGATGTAAAGTCACGACTCAGGAGGGGGCGAAATGCATACCAACACCGATCCCTGCTTGCAGGCTGGAGGATGAAAGAGCTCCGCAGGCTTGCAGCTTATTACATAGGAACATAGCTTTAAATGAATGCTCCTTGCTCGCCGCAGGATGCTGGTGTATGAATATGAGTTAGAGATAAAAGTTAAGTGATAGTTGGTGCTAAAGATTCAGGAGCACACACAAAAATTTTTTAATAGTATTAACTGGTGAGGAATTCTCTAAGTGGAAGACTTTTTTTTCTTTAACTTCTATTAGAGTAGTGGCACAGGAGATGTATGACTATGGCCTGTGAGAGAAGGGGAGAGCAAAAGAGGCAGCTGAGAAGCTAGAAGCTCCCTGTTACGGAAATACCGCTAGTACATGAGGGAGGCAGATAGCTGCAGTGAATACGTGAAACAGGCAAGGGGCCAGTGCGAATGTGTGTGATTCATTCCTTCCCTGAAAAACATTTCAGGACAAAGAAAAAACATATTCTTCCTCGAATAATGACTAAAATAACTGGCACCCCGAGAATCTTGTAAGTCACAGCGCCCCGAGCCATCCACATCTGTTGGTCTGAATAGTAACATCCTTGCTTCTCAGATGGGAATTTATTTTGGATTTCTCGAAACCAAACTGTGTATGTGTGTTTTATATTCAACTTTTCCAAATATGAAATCCTAATTATTGCTGTCACTCTTCCCTCCTTAGATGTGGAAAAATCATTACCAAAAAGAAGAGTAATCCACTTGCTTGGGGAGAAAACCGCTTGTGTGTCGGCTGCCGTATCTGATGAATCTGTGGCTGGAGACAGCGGGGTCTACGAAGCTTTCGTGAAACAGTAAGGGTTCATTTCAGCAGGAGCACTTTTCCGTTACGCCGTTTTCCCCATAGCCGTGCATGTGGGTTACGGACGGGGAATGGATTGCTGCCATTAGCCCACTCTTTGCGATGGTCTGGGCTGTAGGCTTTAAAGAAGCGGTGGGCCTGAAAATTTCAGTATACCAAAAACATGCCATCAGCCAGGGAAATGATAAACAGGTTGGTGTACTCAAAGACACCTCACCCTATTTGAGACTTAAAACTTGATGTTAAGAGAATGTGGAAGTAAAGTGGATGGCCACTGCCTGCTTCTCGTGGACATTTCGGAAAGCCTGGGGTGTGTCCAGGGGTGGTATGTACCCCAGGAAGGCTCAGGAAAGTCAGGCATGAGAAAGCCTTTCCCCTAAAGTCTCAGAGGCAGAGACTCTGCTTGACAGATGAAGAAAGCTCTCAGAATGAGTTTTCCCTCGGATCAGTCCCCCTGGGGTGCTATAGGAGTGTTGTCAATTTTGATTTTCATTCAGAATCATTAAGCGGCAAATAGTAACCATAACCATCGATACCCCCGTTAATCAGCTGTTCTATGCTCACTGTTTCCCGCCCCCAGGCCTAGTGAAGTCGAAGATGTTACATACAGTGAAGAAGATGCTGCCGTCGTGGAGACTGCCCAGGTGCAGATCGGACTCAGGTAAAGGAATGTGCATGGGGGGAGGGGCAATGCCAGAATTCCGCACAGTGACGAGTGAGTGGCCTGTGCGCTCGCCTCATTTCATCAGTTTCTCTTTTGACAGATATGATGCAAAAAGGTCAAGTTTCATGGTGATTATAGCACAACTCCGAAATCTTCATGCCTTCCTGATACCTCATACTTCCAAAGTGTAAGTAAAATCAGTGAAGAACAAATTGAAGAGCTTAGAAATGCCCACATAGGATAATTTTACATTTTAATCAAGCAATCTATCCAATGAAGACATGGAGAACAGCAAAGCTGGTCATGTCTTAATCAAAAGCAGATAAAGACAGAGAGAAAAGGAGAATGTGATAAAAAGCATTTTGAGTTTTGATTCTTACTCAGCCAATTCATTATTAAGAATAGGAACCAAGACTTTTTAACCTCCCTTTTCAACCAAAAATTCCGTATTATGCTGGGTTGGGGCCTGGTTTTTTGAAATACAATTAAAATTTTTGTTATTGCCTAATTGTGACTACCGTTGGTTTGGAAGAATTTTCTGATCTTTTACATGAGACTGTAGTGATTAAATTTTACTTATCAGTACAGCATTGCCAAACATTGCATCGTGACACTTGTAAGAGTGTCATGGTTTTATCATCAAATATTCACTTCCCTGTGACCAATAATTTCTTCAACTTATTTCACTTTATTTCACTTCATCAAACCATAAATCCCAATGAAATAATGGCGTAATGCTACACTCCATTGCTTAGGGACTATTTGTTTCCTGACAGTTTCCGGAATCAGAATTTCAGTGACTCTCTTAAGGGCCCATGGCTAGAAAGTACCAGAAAGAAGTCAGATTTCAACTTAGCACCTCTGACTTAGAATCCAGAATCCTCTGACTTAGCACCCTGCACGTAATAATGTGTTGAATATGCCAGTACAAGGGTTTGGGATTGAGAAAGAGCTATTGGGGTGGATACCCAGCCAGGTGGATGTTTTCCTAAGTAATAGAGTATATTCCTCAGTGAAAAGCATATAATAGAGTAAATATGAGAATTCTGGGTGTTTTCCCTGTAGGTTTACTTTTAAGTTTACATCCAGTATTTTAAGAATGGTCAGAGAAAAACCCAAAAAAACAAAACTGGGTCTAAGAAAAAAAACCTAGATGGAGATTATTTAGTCGGCAAGAGAATAGAGCTAGTGGGTGGCTATGTATTGACAACCATCAATACTGGAGGGGAATAGGATTCCAGGAGGGAAGTAGGCTCGGGGGACCTCCTGAAATCAAACTGTGGGGGATCCACATTATTAGCGAGACCGGTGAGGAGGGAAGGCATATGGGGGCGTGGCGAGGTCACCCCAGAGAGCCTGCTTCTGGGGCAGAGATTAGGAATAGCAGTCAGTAGTATTCAGGGAAGACTGGCTTCATAATATTGTTCATGACTCCTCCCAACCAATGAATATACTGGCATACTGGAGTGAGCCATTGGCCACCTTTAATTTTAGTATGGCCTATCAGGGAGAAGATCCCTATCCCTCCAGGGATCCAGTCTGTGAACAGTGAGAGTCAACCCACAGGTCCAGCAGAAAACTGCAAAGCTCCCCAAGAACACGTCCTTTCTTTAAACTCTTTCTGTAAGAGCAGGCATCCCCACATGTTCTATCTCTGCCGGACCAATCACAGTCACTGTCACTTACCTCATAGGAAGCCACAAACCAGTGCCCTCTAGAGGTGTGATGATGGCCGGTGTAGGTCAGGACCAATAACAGTTCTCAAGTGGTGAGGACAGCGGGCGCTCCTGCTCCCCAGCTGCTGTGCAGTTCTTGTCTCATTGGTCCAGCCTCCCCGCGATGCATAGCAGCACGTTCTCAGACCCACATACATGAAAGCCTTGGCCTAAGTAATGACACTGCTAAAAAATGACAGCTGGTATGACATATCCTTAAAATAGTTTTTTTTCCCCCCTAACTTCAAAACGTATTTTTTGATTTTTAATTACGACCCGCGGAGTGTGTATGCTTCAGCTGGCGAGCAGCAGCCACAGCGTTTCTGCGAGTGGCTCCCAACTCATTTGGGAAGGACGCTCTACTGCAGGATGAGAGGAAAGCACCGCCACCCTCTTTCCCTGTGCCTCTGGCTCTTAACCATGTAAAGCCTCACCTTTTTTTTCATGCGGAAACATTTTAGGATCGTGTAAGCGGTTAGGCCACTGATACAGAGTAAAACTGAAGGCTGGAGAAATAGAAAATGCTTTCCCTCCATTCCAGCTTTCTGATATACTCCCCCTTATTGCTTCCCCATGAAGGCAGAGGAAAAACATTTTCTCTGCTAAATGTCCAGCCTTAACAGCAGTGGCCCCAGATCCACTAGATTTTCAGTACTTAATCTCCATAATCAGTGTTCATGTAAATATAGAAATAATATGACATTCCTCAGTTCTGCATGTGAATTTACAGTTTTTGTTGTTAGAGAAAGGCATCTCTTAGAATATGAATTAGACAAGCCTGGCAGTAGGGGGAAGGGATTTAATGGATGTTCTCCTTCTGGGATTTAAAAGAAAATATCTCGTGCTGTTTCTAAGAATTGTGAGTCCTCTCATAATGTGTGCTCAGAAAATTCACTTTAAAGTGGTATTAGAAGTTTTTTTTTCCTCTAACTTCTGAATTTTACAAAGCATAAGACTCTTAAAACAGTTTGTCATTTCTGATACTTCTGAGCTGCTAGACAGTGATATTTTTTGAACTGTTGAATTTCATCTGTTTTAAATTTTCATAACAATATGCTACTCAGTCTTTCTTTTTCTCTAGTAAGATAATGTATTCCATCCCAGGGACATGATCATCATCATCTCTTGGTTAATACTCAGGATGCGTATTTTGGGGACAAAGTCCTCAGTACCTCTCATGTGTCCCTACCTTCCCAGGCTGTACATGGGCAGGTGGGAAGTTCCGTTCGTCTGCCCTGCACGTTTCTGTCATGCGCCTTTACTGCGCCCCGAGGGGAGTGGCAGGCTGGGCACAGGCTCGGGCACAGGCGGCCCGGGTGGGTGAGGAACAGCCTCTGGGCTGCTGAGCACAGACGGACCCATTATGGCATCAAATCTTTAGGCTGATAACAAAATCCATGTTCCCCCATGTTTCTCTCTTTTGCAGATAATTTGAAACGATAGCTGTGAATCCAGTATAATTAAAGTACCTCTGAAACCCGTTTTGCTCTCGTTCTTTGCAGGTACTTTAGGGTTGCTCTACTTCCCTCCTCAACTGATATCAGCTGTCTGTTTCGAACAAAAGTCCATCTAGCCACGGAATCCATTTTATTCAATGATTTGTTCAGAGTGGCCATTTCCCAAACGGCCTTACAGCAGAAGACACTGAGAGTAGATCTTTGCTGTGTTAGTAAACACCGAAGGGAAGAATGCCTGGTAGGACTTGTCATAATTACCGTTACCTAATGACACTTACGTCATCTGAGAAACATTTTCCAGTTGCTGTTTTGCCAACCCTGGTACCACTACAGATCTGCGCAGTGCCTCAGATACACTCAATGGTTGTTTCATTTTTTATCTGAAGTAGCGATTTCGGGCTTTCATTCTCTTATTCTAGACCTTTAACGTCTGCTTATAAATTGTGATTTTCTGTAAAATCTACTTTCTGTTTCTACCTTTTGGTTAAAGAAGTTCTTTGACCTCTGGTTTGACTGTCGCTATGGAGTATGTTTATTATTCCCAATTTGAGTCTTGTGCTGGGTGCTTATATATTTTCACATTTAATCCTCATGACAATTTTATGAAAAAGTATGATTATTTCGATTTTCAGATGAAGAACTGCTTAGAGAAGTAATCTGTTTAGAGTCACAGAGCTAGTGAATGATGGAGCCAGATATGAAAAAGACATCCCTCACATAATTCACTGTTAGAAATTTAAATTAAGCACAACACTTAGAATATGGTTCCTTTGTTCAGCTCATTCTCCCAGCCTGTGTTAGAGCTTCTAGGAAGACGTACATGTTGCTATTTAGAGCAATATGAAATTTAAATGCTAAAGTGGAAGACTTCATACATAACTAATAGTGAGTGTAACCCACCACTGTGCATAATAACCAGAAAACCATTACACATCAGTAAAATTGCATAAAGTATTCAAATGTATTTAAAAAACCGACCTGGGTCTCTAGTTGAACTTTTCTCTGCAGTATAATAGGAAACACAAAAACACACGTTTCATGATGAACAAAGTTTAAAAGAGTGATAGATCTCTTATTAGTAGTTCTTTTTCTGTATATAAAAAATATTTGATATTGTCTGACAATAAAGTAAGTTAGAAAGAAGCAAAGATAACAGACTCCTTAGGCTGTCAGAAAGGCTTAGTATAATAGATATGTCAGAAGCTCATAAAGCTAATAAATATGTTAATTGATAGCCTTTCAAAAAATGGTAGTTTAATTTAGATTCTGGCTGATATGTGTGATTTGGTAGAATATAAAAGCTTTTAACCTTTAATTTTTTTGACAGTCTACTAACTTACTTAGCCAAAGAAAAATTTTGCTGAAATCTCATTTAAGAACCACAATGGAGTTTTTGTTGGTTTCTTTTAAAATTTTTCAGCGTATAATGGATTTTTGTGAGTAATCATCAAATAACTCTTACAGCATATTATAAGAAATATTATGGTTTGTACTTAGTCATTTATTTTTTAGTTTTACTTTTTAACTTTATATTTAAAAATAATTTCACATTTACAAAATGTTGCCTGCTCAATCTTTAGGTTTGGGCAAAATAGTATCTCACAAAATAATCCTGACATTGGCTTTTAGATTGGGATTATTTCTTATTTACTTATACATGAAAATATAAAACATCTCGAGCTTAAAAAGAAAAATCCACCAGTGCTTTATATCATGAGTATTGCATTTTTTTTACCATAAAACATAATTATATCAGAAGGAGCAAATATGAATTTAAACATTTTATTTTCTTTTTTTTCTTTCATGTCACATAGGCTGGAACTCAGATCAGTCTGGCAGATTTACCATTTTCCAATGAAATTTTCACTCTGTGGTACAATTTGCTTCCTTCTAAGCAAATGCCTTCCAAAAAGAATGAAGAAGAAAATGAGGATTCTGTATTTCAGCCAAACCAGCCATTAGTAGATCCTATAGACTTGGTGAGTCAAAATTAGAGAAAAAAGTCATTACAATTTAATAAAATAATGCGGGATATACAATTCTATGATACCAACATATTTTTATCCACTTTCACTATCCTTCCTTCTATCGCATTTCACCCTTTTCTCCCATCACAATTTACCCTTTTCTCCCAGCTTCCTAAAAAATAAATAATTTCTAGCTCTGTTTCAAGTATAGTTTATAAAAGAATCACTTGTTGGGCCAGCTGAGTGGCTCAGTTGGTTTACGAGCTCGCTCAAGAATGAGAGCTTGGAGCCACAGGGTCGCCTGTTCAATTCCCGACCTGAGCTGAGCTGCTGCTGTGCTGCCAACAGGTGGCAGGATGACTCAGCTAAAAAAAAAAAAAAAATCACTTGTTTATGTTCACTCATCCTTCCATAAAAATAAACGGATGTGGGGGCTTTATTGTTTTAAGTGACCATGAAAAAACTTTGATTTAAATTTATACTTTCATACATTGTGTTCACTGTCAAGTTATACATTTGGAACTATTATATTTTGCAAACGTTAAAAATTTTAAGCCTAAACAGTATTTTATTGGGTTGTCGGAAAAGTCATGATGCATTTTTGCAACAAAAACATAGAAAAAATATGTCATGACTTTTCTGACAACCCAATAGTTTCCATTGGTAACATCAGTATCCATAAATATTTTCTATTAAAAAATTTTTTGTAACCAGCAGTCATACTTAAGTACATACTTCAAAAAATTTACAAAGGGGCATTTTATGAGGCCATTCATCACTGATTTGTCATCTGTGAATATTGTTACTGAGTTCAAGTTTATTTTAGATTATCTATGAGGAAAGATTTTACTAAGCATACGTCAGATAATTAAAGCACCACTACTCTAGTGATCATCTACTATGTGCAAGAAACTATAGCAGACATTGTGGTAGGTGGAAAAAGTGTTGGTAGAACTTAGATTACACTCCCAGCTTTGTGGTAGACACTAAGTAAGACATACAAAATGATGAAGTATGCTTTATACCTGTAAGGATGCTGTTATAATGGTCACACTGCATGTAAGTTTTTTAACAGCTTTATGCAGTATAATTCACGTACCATCCAGTTCACCCATTTGAAGCACACAATTCAGTAGTTTTTAGTATATTCACAGAGTTGTGCAGCCATCACCACAATCTAAAATTATCACATTGTCATCACCCTAAAAGGAAGCCCTGTGCTTACTAGGCAGCAGTTACTCCTGCTTTTCCCTGTCACCGAGGCAGCCACTAATCTTTCTCCCTCTCTAAATTTGCTTATTGTGGACATTTCATATAAATGCATAATACAATATTTGCTCTTTTGTGATGACCTTCTTTCACTTAGTATAATGTTTTCTTTTCAAGGTACGTATATCCATATAATAGCATGTATTAATACCTCATTCCTTATTATTTCCAAATAATATTCCATTGCATGGTTATACCACCACCTTTTATTTATCTGTTCGTCAGCTGATGAGAACTTGGGCTGTTTATACTTTTTGACTATTATTAATAATGCTGCTCATATACAAATGAACATTTGTATACAAGAGTTTATATGAACATATGTTTTCATTTCTTTTGGGTATATTCCTAGGAGTGGAATGGTAAATCTAACATTTTGAGAAACTACCAAACTGTTTCCCAAAGTGGCTGCACCATTTTACATGCTTACCAGCAATGTATAAGGGTTCCAGTATCCGCACACCCTTGCCACATGTTAGGAATCTGTCTGTTTTATTCTAGCTATGCTAGTGGGTATGAAGTGGTATTTATGTGGTTTTGATTTACATTTCCCTTATGACTAATGATGTGGAGTATATTTTCGTGGACTTATTATTAGCTGTCAGTATATCTTTTTTTTTTTTGAGAGCTCTCTTCTCAGATCCCTTGTCTATTTTTTAAATGGGTTATTTATCTTTTTTACTATTGAGTTATGAGCTTCTCATGTATTCTTGATACAAGTCTCTTATCCAATAAGTGATTTGCAGATATTTTCTCTCATTCTGTGAGTTATTTTTTTCACTTCATTGATAGTTTCATTTGCAGTAAAGTATTAAATTGTACTAAAATTCAAATTGTCTATTTTTTGCTTTTATTGCTTATGCTGTTGGTGTCATATCTAAGAAGGCTTTGCCAAACCTAACATTACAGAAATTTACTCCTGTGTTTTCTTCTGAGAGTTTTTGCATTTAGTTTTATTTTTAGGTCTCTGATTTATTTGAGTTGTTTTTTATGTGTGATGTGAGGGATGGGTCCAATTTCATTTTTTTGTATGTAGGTATGAAGTTGTCCCAACACCATTTATTGAAAAAAACTATGCTTTACCCATTGCATTATCTTGGCACCCTTGCCAAAAATCAATTGTCCAAAAATGTAAACATTTATATTTTTGGACTCCAAATTCTTTTCCATCAATCTATATGTCTATACTTATGCCAGTACCACACTCCTTTGATTACTATAGCTCTGTAATTTTGAATTCAGAACGGGTGAGTCATCAAACTTTTTTTTTTCAAGATGGTTTGGGCTGTTCAGGGTCTGCATTTCCATTTGAATGTTAGTATCCGGTCTGTCAATTTCTGCAAAAAACAAAAGAAGACAGCTAGGATTTGATGATAGAAATTGCATTGAGTTTGTATGTCAATTTGGGGGTATTGTCCTCTTAATAGTGTTAAGTCTTCTGATCCATGAATACAGGATGTCTTTCCATTTATTTAGGCCTTCCTGAATTTCTTACAGCAATATTTTGTAGTTTTCAGAGTCCAAGTTTGCACTTCTTTTGTTAATTTTATTCTTTTTGATGCTATTATAAATAGAACTATTTTCTTAGTTGCATTTTCAGGTTATTCATTGCATAATTAATTTTTGTCTACCTTGAATCCTGCAACTCATAATAATCATTTTTTTAGTGGGTTCTCTAGGATTTTCTATGTATAAGATCATATATTCTGCAAATAGAGGTAGTTTATTTCTTCTTTTCCAATTGTCTTTTATTTCTTTTTCTTGCCTATTTGCCCTGGCTAGAACTTCTAGTACAATATTGAAAGAAGTGGTAAGAGCAGACTTCCTTGACTCGTATGTGATCTTCATGGGGAAGCTTTCAGTCTTTCACCATTAAGTATGATTTTTCTGGTTTTTTTGTAGATGTCCTTTATCTGGTTGAGGAAATCCTCTTCTTTTATTAGTTTGTTCAGTGTTTTTACCATTAAAGGCTGTTGGATTTAGCAAGAGATTTTCAGCATTTATTGAGATGATATGTGGTTTTTGTCCTGTGTTCTTCAGATGTTAAACCAATCTTGCATTCCTAGGCTACATCCCACTTGGTCATGGTGTATAATCATTTTTATATTATCAGATTCAGTTTTTTGTTATTTTATTGGGGACTCTTTTGTCTACATTCATAGTTTTTTTGTGATATCTTTGGTTTTGATATCAGGGTAATTCTGGCCTCATGGACTGAGTTATGAAGTGTTCTCTCCTCTTCTACCTTTTGGAAGAGCTTGAGAAGAACTGATATGAATTCTTTAAATGTTTGGTAGCATTCACCACTGAAGCCATGTCAGCCTGGACTTTTCTTTGTGTTTTTGTTAGTTTTGTGTGTTTTGTGTGTTTTGAAGTTTTTTGTTAACTAATTCAGTCTCTTTACTTGGAAGTCTCTTCAGAATTTTCTCTTTGTGTCAATTTTGGTAGTTTGTGTCTCTCTAGGAACTTACCCGTTGCATCTAGGTTATCTAATTGGTTGGCAAACAGTTCTTCATAGTATTTCCTTATAATCCATTTTATATCTGTAAAGTTGACAATAATGTCCCTTCTCTCATTCATGATTTTAGTAATTTAAGCTTTCGCTTTACTTTTCTTGGTCAGTTTCACTAAAGGTTTGCCAATATTTTTCATTTTCTCAAAAACCAACTTTTGTTTTCAGTGATTTTTCTCTGATATTTCTGTATTCTCTGGTTTATGAATTTCCATTCTGGTCTTTATTTTTTTCTTCCCTCTGATTGTTTTAGGTTTATTTTGCTCTTTTTCCATTTTCTTACTGTAGGAACTTAGGTTATTGATTTGAAATCTTTCCTGTTTTTTAATGTAGATCCTGACAGCTATAAATTTCCCTCTGAGCACTGCTTTAATGAAAGCAACTCATAAATTTTGTATATTGTATTTTAATTTTCATTTGTGTCAAAGTATTTTGTAATTTCTAAAAAAATTTTTAATACTTTTTTTATTTTTTTAAAATTTTTTCAATTACAGTTGACATACAGTTGACATCAATTACAGTTGACATTTTGTTTAGTTCTTTTTCTGTAGTTCTTTTCTGTTCTTTCATTTGGGACATGTTTCTCTGTCTCCCCATTTTGGCTGCCTCCCTGTGTTTGTATCTATGTATTAGGTAGGTTTGCTATGTCTCCCTGTCTTAGTAGAGTGGCCTTATGTAGTGGGTGTCTTGTGGGGCTCAGTGGCACAGTCTTCCTGATCACCTGAGCTGGGTGCTGCAGGTGTGTCCCTTGTGTGTGTTGAGTGTGCCCTCCTGTTGTAGTGGAGCTTTGGTTGCTGTTTGAACACCATTTGGAGGGATTGACCCTCATGCTGATTGGTTGTGAGGACTGGCTGTGACCACAGTGGAAGAGCTGTTGTTCAGGGATTGATCCTATCAGGGACTGATCCTATGTCTGCTCAGTCTGCCCTTTGGGTGTGTTGTTTGTGGAGGTGGTTGGGTGGTGCCCTGATGTGGTCTGAAGCTGACCTCCTGGTGTGCTGGTTCTGGGGCCTCTTGGCAGAGGCTGTGTTGCAGGCTGAGGTCAGCTGCTGCCTATACCCTGCCTCAGGCCACTTAGTATGAGCTACAAAGTGATTTGCAGATGTTTGCCACTTCTCCTGGGCTTAGAGGTGCCTGGGAGAAGCTAAGCTGTGAGCCGAGGCTGGCTGCCACTAGTGCCAATCTTAGGGCTGCTTTGCAAGACGTACAAGGAATGCTGAGGCCAGATGCTGCTTGTTTGGGGTTTGCGAACCTTTGAGAGATTTTAAGAAAGTCTGTAGCGTGATCCAAGACATGCCGTGTATATAGAAAAGCTACTGGATATGGCTTAGGTGGGCCCACAATTTGGGTGGGGCAGGGCCTCAGGGAATCACCAGGGCAGGGCAAACAGTGTTAGCCAGTTGAAGGAGACCAGATACGGTGGTCACCTGCGTCTGCACACCAGGAGCAGGGAGGTCTTAACAAAGGAACAATGTCTGGGAGAAAGCTGACCCTCCAGCCCTCATCCTGAAGCCAGACAATTCAGTTCCTCCTCATATGTCCCTGGTGCCTTTTAAGCTACTGCCCCAGTGCTGGAGCTCAGAGGAAGTAGGTCTGTGTGCGGGCCCTTTAAGAGCAGCACCTGGGACTTCAGCCGTTCTCCGTCTCACTCAGCCACAATATCCACTGGTTTTGACAGCCAGGATTATAGGGTCTTCTCTTTCCAGCACTGGGACCCTGGGCTAGGGAGCCTGGTGAGGGGCTGGCTCCTCAGGGGGACCTCTGCAGCCAAGATATCCCTCCTGATTTTCAACCGCCACACGTGGGACCAGCCCGTTCTGCATCTCCACTGCTTTTATCAGTCTCGAGGTAGCTGCTTCTATATATCCTTAGTTATAGGACTTCTGTTTAGCAGATTTCAAGTGATTCTCAGTGATGGTTGTTCTGTAGTTTAGTTATAATCTCGTTGTGTTCTGGGAGGAGGTGAGCACAGGTTTTACCTACTCTGCCATCTTGACTGGAAGCCAGTATTTTGTCATTTTTCTTGTGACTTCTTTGACTCATTATTTATGAATGTGTTAATTTCCAGATATTTGTTCACTTCTTATTTCCTTCTGTTATTGATTTCTAGTTTCATTAAAATATAATCAAAGAACATATTTTGTATGATTTCAGTCTTTTTAAATTTATTGAGGCTTGTTTTATGGCCAAGTATATGGTCTATCCTGAAGCATGTTCCATTTGCACTTGAGAAGAATGTGTATTCTGCTATTGTTGGGTGGAGTTCCATAGGTGTTTGTTAGGTTTATGGCTAGTAGTATTCTGTTGTATATATGTACCACATATTCTTTATCCAGTCATCTGTCAAAGGACACTTAGGTTGTTTCCATGTCTTGGCTATTGTGAAAATGCTGCAATGAATATGAGGGTACATATATCTTTACAAATACGTGTTTTCAAATTTTTCGGACAGATACCCAAAAATGGGATTGCTAATTGTTGGTCCATAAGAGGTAATGAATCTTTTTTTCCTTTTACTACTTGTAAAATTTCCTGTTTTCCTTTGCTTTTCAGCAGTTTTACTCTGATGTGCTAATGTGATTTTTTTTGTTTGTATGTTTATTCTAGTGAAATTCTCCATCATTCCATCAGTTTTCTTGAACATATTAATTGTAAAGTTTTACATTTCTTCTCTAAGTAACTGTAGTATATGGATCGCCTGTGGGTTTGCCTCTTTTGTCTATTGTTTTTCTTGGCTTTCAGTCACTGGGTCCTGTTTTCAATGGAATGCTGGATATTATGTATGAAGAATTATAGAGGCTCTGGCTGATAGCTTCCTCCAGAGAGGATTTAATATTCTTCTGGAAGGCAGATTACAATATGGGCAAATCACCTGGATCACTTGGGGAACCTGAATTCCAATTTTTCTCTCCCTAGGATGGTGAGGCAACTGAAATATCTGCTTGCTGTTTTAGCCTCCAACCAGCTGGTTTTTGCTTTATTTCTCAGCTTCTTGCTTTGCACAGTTGCAGCTTAGGAATGGCAAATGCCTCGATAGGAATATTACACATAACATTGGGCTAAAGCCACTTTAGAGTTCATTTTCTCTGATCCCTTGTGTGCTGACTGCATGGTAGTCGTCAACTCAGGTTTCATCTTTGCATTCTACCAACACTGCCACAGTTCTGGGCAGCCACAATCTCTTTAGCCTGTATGCCTCACCACTAGAATTGATTGACACATGGCCCCCAGGGAAAAGAGTGGCAGAGTGGCAGTGGTGGTCGGCTCACCTCTTGCATTTCCCTTCTGCCTGGGATCTTGGCCTTCTAGTCCTGATTGCCTTTGCTGCTCTTCATTGCTTTAAATCAGCTGGAGTTTTTGTCTGGTTTTTTTTTTTGCTTTTTATTTTATTCATCTTTCATATTCTCAGCAGGAGAATTGGGTCGAGTACCAGCTTCTTTTTCACAACTGAAGCATAAGTCCCCATCTGATGGGTTTCTAAATCACTTCTAGAAATGTCTGATGTTAATTGCCATATGTCTTACATTCTCCAGGATGCAGTGTCAGCCTTACTTGCGAGAACATCAGCTGAGCTGTTGGCTGTGGAACAAGAATTAGCACTAGAAGAAGAAGAACCAGGGAGGGGAGAAGAACAAAGGGGTCCGGATGGAGATTGGTAAACACGTATTTCCTTTGCTATTGGGAACCCAAAGAGAACGTGTTTAGTTCCTCTTAAGAAACTTTCTAGGAAACCTTTATAGGTTCAGATCTTATTCTGGAATTATGGAAAGCAGTGAGGCTCCAGGCATCTGCCCCTAGAGGAACAACTCTCCTCCGTCATTAGAGAGTTGAAGTGGGTAATTGATAGCAAGATTGTGAGCAAAGTTAGCACATCAGCGAGATTCTTTGTTCTTCAGTAATTTTTAACACTATTCCTTGAGCTTTTTAAACTTTAAGTCTTAAACTGTCTATTTTAAAAGGTATGGTAGCTTATTGTAGATTTATAGATAAATTTTAAAACGGACTCTCTTTTCTTATAAACTACCAGAAGTACCATTTAGCCTGTGGTAAGTCAGAGCAGATATTTAGAAAACAGCTTCTGAGTAGTCTTTGCTCTGTTTGTTACCACTTTCACCTTCTTTTTTTGTTCTCTTTTCATTATCCATACCTCATCGTTTTTTTTTAAAAAAAAAAGGGAAGAAATGTTATTATAGCTTTTGTCTAGATTCGTGTATGTATAAAGAACTATCTTTCCTGGTTTGTACTATTTTCTCTAAAAACAAATTTTAGTGACTACATCAGCCTTTTAAGTATACGTGTAAAATCATTTGAATTAGTTTTGTATATATAGTTGCTTATACTGTTATGTTTGATTGAGCTACTGTTAATACATATATGCACATATATACATGTATAGCATGCATTTGTGTGTATGTATGTATATAAAACTTTTTATAAATTTGAATGACAAGATATATCATAAATAACAAAGTCATGGACATTTGGATGGAACAGCTTATTACAGTGATATAAAAAGGTACAGCTATACTTTGTTCTTATCAAAAGCCCTTTATAGTAAATAAAAATCAGAGCACTAAAAAAAATAATATGAGAGTAATTATAAGTTTCATCATGGTATCTTTAAATATTAGGTCTTCTTTGTGTATGTAAAATGCAATTTGTTTCACACACATTTCAAAAACTACATTTAGTATGTAAAATAAAGAAACTAATAACTCATGGTATTGCTAGTTCCCTGGTATTCATTTCATGACTAGCCATTTAGTAATCGGTGCCAATTTGCCAATATATCACCAATCACAATTAAAGCTCAACTTTTAGTTATCAGTAGAAAAAATGATTGCATTCTAAGGCTATGCAACACAACAAAGCATGAGATATTCTAAATCACCCTGGTGCACCTGCTTTCCTGTCAACAGAGTTCAGACAGAATATAAACCATGTTCATATTCTGGTTGTCTTACTATAATGCTGCCCAAGCCCATGCCATGGCTTTTGTTAAAGACAAGATCATATGGCATTAAGAGCTTCCCTTTTTCAGTAGTAAAACTCTCTTTCCACAGGCTCTACCCCTGCTGGACTGTAAGCACAATTGATAATGGATATTTTTTAATCCATGTCTTTGTCCACTCTTAGCAGTCACTCCATGCCATTGTATGATTAATTTTACAATAAATCAACAACTAATACCAAGTTATAGTGAGTGTCAATATTTTTAAATGGTGGGGTTAAACTTCATATTCAATATATTTCTATTTTAATCTCTAGGAATTTGTTCAAATTCATGAATTTAACCTTTTAGTACCAAACTATGGTGATTTTACTGTAGATTACTGGACATAATTTTATTTTTCATGAGCATTTGAGTAAAGGTCCCAGCCAAAAAAATGGCTTGAATCATTATGTATGAGTCTGTTCCTTGCCCAGAAAACGGGTGAATGTACCCAAGTTGCACATTTCACGGAGCACACCGACTTGACCTAAAGTGTGTTTTGTTTTGGTTCACTGAAGGTTGTTAACAATGCTGAGCGAGGCCTCTGATGAAATTGTGACCGAAGAAGAAGCTGAAGTTACTTTGCCAGAGGGCAGTAGACATACCGAAGACTCAAGTTCATGCCCGAGTGTGCCTGAGATGAATGAAGACACTAGTAGGAAAGAACATAGCTGTGCCAAAGACCTTGGAAGTCAGCCACCTCCTGTAATGCCCACCCTGGTGAATATTTCCAACTGTACTCTCCTAAAGCAGAGCTTTTACAGGCACCATGTCGACTAAGTTTGTCCCTTAGGGTATAATTGCATATTAGGATTTTTGAGGCAAAGCTGATGATGATAAGCATTTGTGAGAGTAAGCTGTAAGAAGCATTGTAAATGCTTTAAATTTTTAAATGGGCCCAAAATATTCATTCACCACTTAAATTTCATATAAGAAGATAAATCATTGCTATTTAGATCTCAGCAAATGTTTTGTGAATTTTAATTGCAAGCATTTTCAGAATTTCCTGGATAACACCAGGATGACTAGTTAACTGTGCTAAGTTTCATAAATGTTGTAAGTTTATTTCAATTCCAAGCATGAAGTAAACATTTAAAGTTCATTTTGGTTAGATGGTGTTCTGACTAAAATCTCTTCTAGGAGGTGGCAGATGACTCAGTTTAGGCACAGGCACCAGCCAAGTTATTAAGCACGTGACTTTGCTAGTTAAGTGAGAGACGTGTTAAGACTGCCATCTGCAAAGGGGGGAAATCATTTTCAAGCTTTGAGGATGCCAGCAAACTTGGGATGTTATAACGGATTTAGAAATTTTCCTGAGAATTATTTTATTCCTGAGAAAAATAATATCATATCTATCCTGATTAAAGGCTTCACATATAAGTATAATTGCATAGTCTATGTAAACCTATAATTTTGTAGTATATTTTCATTTTCTTATATTTAATTACTTTTCTCATTCTCAAAAAACCTAATCAGCTTAGTGATGTTTAATGATGAAGCATGCCCAAGTAAGATTGTTTATAGAGCCACACCTACCCTCTAAATGTAAACTTTCATTGTTTAGGCTTAATCTGTTAGAGGCGGCACCTCCGTTTATGGGTAACCCTGTTGGACAGATACTGTCCTACCCACCTTGGGTCCCTCTCCCAGGGTTCCCATCAGGAGTATATGAAGCCTTTCTCTCAGAAGTGACCCTAGTGATACAATAAATGAGCCTCTGTTGGAAGGTTAGCTATTAAGTTTGTACTTAGAAGAAAGGAGCATAAGTGTATCCATGTCGATCCACTCCTGACAAATGACTTCTTCTCTAGGTTGATAAAGAGACAAATACTGATGAGGTCGGTAACGCCAGCATGGCAGTTCGCCCCAAAGACCGCAGCGGGCTGAGTGCCCGGCAGCGCCCCTTTGTGAGGAGCAGCGTGATCGTGCGCTCCCAGACCTTCTCTCCTGGAGAGCGGAACCAGTACATCTGCCGGGTAAGGGGGCCGGGGCTCCTGCCAGGTGCTGGGAGCTGAGCACCGTCCCTCCCGCCAGCCAGTGGCCCGTTACGTTCTCTGTAGAGTGGGGATGTTCAAATTCCGACTACAAATATTAATAGCCAGAAAAATATCACACTCATATGGTTCTTTTCAGTTTGGGTTGCAGCGGTGGTTCTCAAAATTTAATGTCTCATTGGCTCTTACACCATTTATGTGGCAAATAAGTAGAAGTTAGGACCTGGCTACAAGTATATTTGTACTTCAGTCTGTATTTAGAAACTTCAAGTGCCTTGAGACTTATATTTTGTATATTTCTGCTGTATATCAAACACCATGTTAGTCCTTCTGAACCAAAAATTGTGCATTAGATTTTAGAACAAAAATCATCTTTTAATAATGCCTCTAGACACTGAATCAGATTCGTAGTTCTGTGGAGAATGCTTGTAGGATTTGCATCAATTTATCAGATTCTACTTCCAGCAGTATTTATGTAGTAATGTAGATTTCATATTATAAAATGGGTTAGAAAATACCTTTTAAATTTATTCATTCAATTCAACAAATTTTTTTTTTTAAGATTTTATTGGGGAATTGGGGGAGGGGGAACAGTGTTGGGGAATTGGGGAAAGAAACCAGCCAAGTTGTTGTTCTTCAGTCTTCGTTGTGGAGGGCACCAGTCGCCATCTGGCTGCCCATCGGCAGCTCATGGCCTCTAAGCTCAAGGTGCTGTGATCAATCTTAGTTGCGGGTGGACGTAGCCACCATCCCATGCGGGAGTTGAACCCGGCAGCCTTGTTGTTAAGAGTGCACGCTCTATCCACTGAGCCATCCGGGCGGCAGCTCAGCTCAAGGTGCCGAGTTTAGTCTTAGTTGCGGGTGGGCATAGCCCACCATCGAACAGGCAATCTTGTTGTTACATTAGCTGAGCCGTCCTGCCACCTGTTGGCACTCAGTGACAGCTCAGCTCGGGTGCAGGGTCACTGGCTCATGTGGGAATCAAACCAGCGGCCCTGTTGCTCAGAGCTCACGCTCTTAAGCCAACTCTTAACCAACTGAGCCACTTGGTCGGCCCTCAACAAATATTTTTATTAAGCACCTGCTATTAAGCATGTTTCTAGATACTGGGGATTTGTCTGTGAACAACAAAAAGGCCCAGAGCACTGCCCTTGCAGAGCCTACATTCTTGTGAGATGAGCCAAGCAATAAGCATAATAACTAAATGCGAAGTGTCCTGGATGGGGACCAACGCTGTGGGACGTAATAGAGGAAGTTAAGAGGGATTGGGAATGGTGAGGACAAGGGATGAACATTTAAGTAGGGTTCAGAGTAGGCTTCATTGATAAGATGACGTTTCAGCAAAGACCTGAAGCCAGTGAGCAAGTGAGAATGGGCTGAGCATTCTGGATTGTGCAAACTGTGTTTGAGCTCTGATTTTAAGCTCTGTGCATCAGCTTTTCTTTAAAAAATGAATATTGCATATTGGCTAAAAATACAAAGGATAATTTTATTTCAGAGTATGTATAATTATTTTAACACATGACTCCTGATAACTGCCACCAAAAGGTAATTGTCTAAATTATTATTTTTTTAAAATTCCATTATTTAAGAAAGCATAGAACAGGGAAAAACTTGTTTGGGGAGGATTTTCTTAAGGAAATTAAACTCCTGTTCTCACTACCTGCTCCATCTGATACACTTCTCAACTGTAAATGTCCACTATCACTCTGTTATGCAGTGATTTCCTTTTTTTTTTTTTTTTTGTCCTTTGTTGCCAGTTAAACCGAAGTGACAGTGACAGTTCAACCCTGGCTAAAAAATCACTGTTTGTAAGAAACTCCACTGAACGGCGCAGCTTGAGAGTCAAAAGGGTACGTATTCCCTCAGCAGCAGCCCGCTCCTAGACCAATCCAGAGTCATGAGTGCGAAGCATAAATATCAGAACTGTTGAGTATCAGTGCTCCACACTCTTGGGTTATTGAATGCAGCCGCTGTGGTTACAGAGGAGGGTAGGAGGGGCACCCTTTGGCAGTGGATACGGGATGGACACCAGGTGCTGTTGATAGGTGGTGTGAAGTGACACGGGGTCGGAGGGTACAGCATTATGTCAGTTACGTTAAGAGGATGTGCTTGAGAGCATTCATTCATCGCTGGTTTGGATGCTGAGCAAATGAAGGCAGAAGTTGAGTTTGTGGCGTCGATGAAGAAGGAGCACGTATTCCTGCTGATGGCTGCTTGTTTTCACACATGTCTGGCTCTTGAGCGATTGTGGGAAAAGTGTAACACCCGGTACCGGGCATGTGTTCCAGTAAATGAGTAACACGGTTTTAGTAACTTTCTTATAAACAGATATTTTTAGAAGGTTAAGATTGATGTGGATGGGAAAGCTTAAGTCGTGTGTTCCTGGAGGCCATAGGTCCCTGGATGACCTTTAAAGCATAAATCTGAGAGAATATTAAATATTAATAAGTTAAAAGGCTGGACAGTTCAAGTAGTTCAAAAACTCCGTTTACTTACCAACAGCTGAAATCCTAATGGGAAGTTTTTTCTTTACTAAGAATTTGTTTAGTAATCATTTGCTAAGCTGTTTTATTTCAGCTTAAAGTGCAGTGTCGGTAAGTATGAACCACTGTGTGTGCTAAGCCCTGGGGCGCTGCCTGCAGGCGCTTCCTGTCTAGAGTTGGTGCTCAGAGGAGCACGTAAGACTACTTAGCGTGGTGGGTAAAAGAAGAGAATGAGCTGGTTGGGAGAATCAAAAAGGCCTTCTGGGGCAAGTCTGTGGCCTTCACACCTGGATAAAATTGCAGAAGAAAATGGTAGCCTTGTGGGAAGTGGGGGATAGATACCAGGTGCTGTTGGTAAGTGGTGTGAAATGACTCATGGGGGCAGGAAAACACATTCAAGGGACAAGAAGTGATCAAGCTCAGCCAGCGCCTAGGCACTGGGAATGAAGACTGGGAAGGTGAATTAGTCTCATTACCAGTGACTCTCTGGTTTAATGCTGCTATGTGCACAGTACTAGAGGTATGAATAGGCTCATTTGGGTCCCCTGCTTAATGTCCTAGTTACTTGAAAGTAATAAGCATATTTCTTTCTCTAAGGTAAAAATGCTAGCATTTATTTAGTATTAGCATTTTCAGGAAATTTTGAAGTGTGGATCTTTTAGATTGTCGAACTTTACCCTTTTAAAAGCACCTAAATTTCCATTATGAGTGAAAATTCTTCTCAACTCCTTTATATGTCACCTGCATACGTTTGAAGGATGGTAGCACTCTTCAGAGAAATTTTAACCAGAAGTGTTTATGAAGTGAGTGAAGCTGAATAACAGGTTACTGATAAACTCAGTTATTAGAGCTACTTGAACCACACAAAGGTTAATCCTGAAACGTTGTGTAGGAGATGATTGTTAAATGGTTTTTAAAGCAGACAGATATGGTTAGTAGAAGTGAATGGGGAACAATATTCTAATTTAAGTGTTACAGCAAAAAAGGTATAGGGGTGTAAGAGCACAGAAGCATCTGCAAAGCTCATTGAAAGGTTTACCCGACTGGAAAACCAAAGTGGCAGGCACAAGAGGCCTGAGGTTAGTGCTGGTGCCTCCTTGTGCTGGCTCAGGAGAGCGGGTGGCACACGTCTCTTCCCAATTCAGAGACATCACATTGACAGCTGGAAAACAGTTATGGCGGGAGTATTTATACCAATGAAATTGGCCAACCCTACAGATCAGTGAGCCAGTTGTGAAACATTTACCAGCAGGCCACTGCACATTAGAGTCCCTTAGAAAGGCTACATGTACATGACAGCTAGGAAGGATTACCGATTTTGAAAAACGAGGAATACAATCAAACAGAGTACGTATCTAGATGACTCTACTCTGTAATAAGTTTGTTAGAGCATACGTTAAGTAAAGGGAACCTAATTATAAGAATGCTACAGGATGGTAGAGAATGTTACAGCAGTATGTGTTGCACAAGGAGGAAGAGGACTAGGAGGAAACAATGAGAGCTATTCAGACTTGGGCTAAGGCTCCGAAACATGAAAAGGGGCAGACAGGCCCTCTCCCGTCCATCTGTCATGAGCACCACCACTGTTCCAGATCTTCAAGCTAGACTACTTCTCAAGCTTGAGTCCCTTCTCTCTTGTATCAAATAATACCAGTTTTTATTAGTAATCTCTTATTTTCCATTCCCACTGCCAACAATAAGTAAGAAATGCCCTCCTTGTTTGCCTCTGCTCATGCAGTCTTACCCAGCCGTGTTCGAATTTCTTACTAAAGCGAGTCTGACCCAGCCCTGAGTGAGCTCCCCCTTCCCTGCCTCCCTGTGGCACAGAAGTCACTGTTTTCACTGTTTACTGATGGTTATTGTCTCCTACCATCCTCTAATCGAAGTCCTCAAGGTCAGAAATTATGTCTTCTCTTCCAAGTGTTTTGCCTACAAATCCCCAGCTGTCATTTATTCATACGTATTCATTAATTATTTCTCGATAAATTGATAAGATTGGCCACAGGAAGAACACCAATGATCTGGGGGGTGAAAGTAGATATTAGACAATGGGAGATCAAGGAAGGAGCTGGAATTTAAGCATATTGATCAGAGGAAGGAGTCCAACTCTTATATCTGCTGACCAGCTTACATTCTGGCTGGCACTTCTAGAAACAATAGGAAGAGGTGTAAGCTGTGGGGATACAATCACGTGTCCTGAAATGGAGGAAATGTAAGTTTCTTATAATGTATTTGTTTTTCACAGAGGGTGGCCTTTGTGTAGTAAATTGGTCAGGCCAAGCTAGGCCATACCATGGTAACAACTTTAAACATACCTGGTTTAAAACAATAAAGGTTTATTTCTTGCTTAGCTACTTGTTCATTGCAGGTAGCTGGATGCTCTTTTGTTGTCATCAGTCAGGACTCAAGCTAATAGGGCCTCCATCCCTGGATCTTTGCTGTCCCTCTAACAGGTGACAGAAATATACAGATCTCACACTGGCTTTGAAAAGTTTCTGCCTGGAAGTGATAGATATCTGTCATTGGCCAAAGCAAGTCACTTGGCTGGTTATGCCTCACTCAAGGAAGCAAGGAAATGCCATCCCATCATGTGCCAGGAAGGAGGGAAAGTAGAATAATGAGCAGCAATATGATCAAGGTGTTTTGTTGTTTGTTTTCTGACTACCCAGACGGTTTGCCAACCCGTCCTTAGAAGAACAGCACAGGAATGCCCAGTGCGCACATCTCTAGACTTAGAACTGGATCTTCAGGCATCTCTAACCCGGCAGAGTCGCCTCAATGATGAACTGCAGGCCCTGAGGGGCTTGAGGCAAAAGCTGGAGGAACTGAAAGCTCAGGGAGAGACGGACCTTCCACCAGGTGTGCTGGAAGATGAGCAGTTCCAGAAGCTCCTGAAACAAGCTGAGAAGCAGGTACAGATTTCAGTGCCTTCGTTATCTCTGAGGGGCTTACAGAGAGTTGCCTTTTTTAAAGCCTGCCATGTAGAGGGTACCCAGTTTGCACCTCAGTTTTGCTCAAGTCTTCAAATCCTTTTTAAGAATGTGAAACACATCTTTTCCCATAGTTAGAGGCCTTTTTAAAACCTAGGACATTAAGGGTAGTACTGCCACCCCCCCAAGGTGCACGTAACAGGTGCCCCCACCATGCCACCCCCCTTCGCAGCTGCAGCTCTAGTGGCCACTGGTTTCCTGACAGAAACATGGCAGCGAGGGGAAGTGATTGTCTTCATTTCTGCCCAGCGTGTTCCTTTGTCTCAATGTGAGACTTGGCAAATAAATACAGTATAACTTTAAATATAAATGATAACTTTTGTTTGAAATTTCTATGAGTGGGTCTTTAAGATTCATTAACCACATCAATTATAAACGTATTGCTAATTTTAATGCTTCTAAGTTTTCAGGTTCTTTTTTACCTTCAAGAAAGGTCACACGTCACATATTGTAATTCTCCCTTGCCTTTCAGCATACAAACAACTATACAAGATAGGATAAAATCATGGATTAAAAAATAGGTATTTTTAAGGGACTATTTCTATTATTCTGCCACCTAAATATAACCCAAAATTTCAAGAACCTTCATATTTATGAAATTGATTTATTCTCTGAAGATTAGAATTTATATATTTTGTAAATCACTTTATTATGCTAAAAAAAAATGATACTTCTGGAGAAAAAAAACAACAAGGAAGAGGACTTGCCCCACAAGAAATTGGGATTTGTTAAGCTGGTAACATAGGTAAACAGTAAGGAACTGGCAGAAGGATTGAGACCGGTCATCGGCATGAGTCGGCAGCCCAGAAACAGACGCGTGTTTGTAGGGCGTTGCTCTGTGATGGAGGCAGCCTGTCCGCCAGTGGCTAAGGGAGGAGCTGTTGAGTCAGTGACGCTGGAAAGAAGATGATCCACGTGGAGAAGACAACATGGGATCCCTGCGTCATATACAAAAATCAACTCCCAGTAGATTAAGGACTTAAATGTCAAAAGTAAAAGTTGAAAACCCAGAGTACAAATATGGGATGTATCCTTTTATGTTTCGGTTTTTGTATCTTCAGCACCTATTCCATTCCCTACCTCGTTGGAGATAAGGTAGATTGGAGCAAAATTGTTAAGAGCCTGGAATGTCTAAGTGATGGGGAGACACTGAAGTTCCTAAAGACAAACCCTTTGGGAACAGTGTGCTGGTGACGTGTGTGGCACTGGCTAGACGGGGAGGTTCCTTCCATGTCCCTGGGGCTACACAAATTCCGCAAGATACGGTGAGGAGCTTGCACAAGATCCAAGCAGTATGTCTAATACTAATTCAAAGAAACAGGAGGAGTGAGACATCTTTTCAAAGGTAAAAGTATCGTAAATATACTGTCGTCCTCAGGGATTTTTTTCAGTCTTTCATTATAGAATTCTGCTAAGATTTTTGCTGGTATTGATCAGTGATTGGAGGTTTGCAGGGTTTTAGGGTAATGCTTGTTTTCCTTTTACGTTAAAGAAATCCTTACTCCAAGTAGATGAAAACAGGAAGGAGTGTAGGACCCAACAGCCCAGGAGATAGGTCTTCAGAGCCAACTTAGATGCGTTGCTCAGAGCCTCTGAAACCTGCACTTGAGTAAGAGTTGATGTCTGATGCACACCTGTTCATTTTAATAATTTGTCCTTTATTGAGCCAGTCAAGAATGTGTGTTTGTTTTCAGCTGCAGAAAGTTCTGAGAGGGGTTTCTTGGGGGAACTTGAACAGAAGTGTTCCCTGTAAAGAAGATAAACCTCTTCATGCAAACCCTCCCCCAGGGTGCCTTCAGCCTAGTGTGTTAATGCTCCAGGGGAGTCACAAGGCCATCTTTTCCTTTTTCCGTATTACAGTGCCTTGTAATAGATGTCCCAACCAACCTTGGTGAAATCTCCTCTGCCTCATTAAAACCTGCTGATCTTGCTTACCAGACACTGCATTCTCCTATTTTGAGTTTTGTTTACCCTCCTACCTGCCACTAGAATAAAGGATTTCCCTTAGACTTGCTGGGGAAGGGATAAATGCAGCATATAAAGAATGATGAAAACTGACTGATGGGCACTTTTGGTGGCCCCAGGAGAGCTTGGTCACCTGAGGGCCTGTGCCCTGCCCTCAGGGTTAGACACGGCCACGATGTGGGCACCCTTGGTCCAGGCTGTATCTTGGTATTTCTGAGACCAAGTTCCAGGAGTACCATGGTCTAGGGATATTATCAGATCAAATCAGTTAGTGTTTCATAGGGACAGGTTTGTACACTAGCCTGGACTCTCAGACACACTGTTCTGAAACAGGAGTTTTATGCTGTCCTGTGCCCAGTAACCCACGTGATTACGATCTAGGAAAATAGCGGCAGTGATAAGGAGAAAATGGCCTGTTCACACCTCCCACGCTGCCAAGATCCCTGACTGCCCCTTGTTTGTTTGTTTTCATACCTGTCATGCCAACCTATCATGCTGTTCTTAGTGACAGAAATAGTCATAGGAATGCCAGACCGATTTTCCAGACATAATATGAGTGAAGTTAAACTAAATTCCCTTGTCAGTGACCTCTTTGAAAACTGTCACCTCTGTCATTCAGGCAGCCGTTTGTGTGACATGAGTGGTATTTTTCCCGTTTCGTCTCGTAATTATTAGCATTCTTATTATCCCTATTGGAAGTTACCATCTAAAAAGTAGGTGCTGGCTAAAATACCTGCCTGGGCTATCATTTCCTGTGCTGACCTCAGAACCAGCATCTCCTTAAAAGTGCTGCTGTAGGTGTGTGAGGTTTTGCTTTTTAAATTCTCAACACACCCCAGCTCTTCTGCACAAGGCCAGTGCCATTGGCCAATAGAGTTAGCTGGAATGCCACATTGGGTGCACTTTTCTCACAGAGCAGGCCTCCTATCAGCAGCATAACAATGCTCATTCAGATGAGGGAACAACTTCTCACTCGGACTTCATGGGGTTTTCCAGCTTGCATCAAGAATGCAGAGGTTCAAGGGCCTGGGTCTCCTGAGTCTTTCCCGATGCAGGATGTAAGCTGATCTTGTTCCAGCTTTGGAAGTGCTTTAGAAGAGCGGCACTTTAGAATTCTTCTTTTGTAAAATAGTGCTTTGTTTTTGTATTAATTTGCAGCTGTTCAGTCATTAAATGACACCTACTTAGGCGCGAGTCTAGCCTCATACGTTTCTGCTGATGACTGCAATCACCCTTACTCGAGTTGCGCTGATGATTTTGTTTAGAAATTTAATTCTGTCTTAGTAGCGGATTTCTGATCTGTGTCATCTGATGAACCAACACTGAGTTGGTTTCATAATCAGTTTGCACACCAAGGTCCTGGGAGAGAAGAGCCCAAGGAGGTTTCTCTTGTGATTGTGCAGAGCCTGAGATAAACACTCCCATTCCACAGTTCCATGAAGGGGGTGCAGCTCCAGGGAGCAGAGGGGAGCGAGGAAGAAGGTGGCCACTGTGTGTGTTGCTTGCTGGCTGCCAGAGGACCGGCTCCTGGGGGCCTGTAGAGTGCGTCTCAGTCATCCCGCAGAGAGGGGAAAGGAGAATGGTTCTACCCGTGTGCCTGTGTGGGTGCCAAGCAGTCTCGTGGCATATTTCGGCTTCAACAGGAAAACCTGTGGCAGGGGCCGGAGGCTCAGGGAGGAATGAGGAGAGACTCTAGTGTGCCTTTGTGAAGTCCACTAGACACACACACACACACACACACACACACACACACGTCCCTCTAGAGGGCTGTGACCACAAGGAAGCAGGAAAGGTCAAGAGGATCTGAGCTGATGTGTGAGAGATGTCTGATTCAGAATGAGAATATACATTTCCCAGTTATCAAGAAAATTCCAGCCTAAGCAAACATGAATATAGACATACATAAATAACGAAGGGCCATTAAGAGCTGAGATAGTTGTATTCAGCCTGCTCCATACCAGTGCTATCATTTTCCTAGAGCTTTACTGTGAACAATATTATGTAGGGGTGCTCAGATAAAACCCTTTTAGAGGAGTTAAAACTCATATGCACAAAATGCTGTGATTCCCCCCCACAATATGGGGCCCAAACTCTAGCTAGCCTGATGATACCCAGTGAAAAAGTCACTGGTATACGCTGGAGGTCCTTGTTTCAGGTCTAAATAACAGCAAGGCTAAGAGACCCACGGGCGTTTCTGGGGTGAGGGCGAGAGCCTCTGACGTCTGCCAGCTTTGCGTGCTCATTACCCTCCCCGCTGTTCCTTTCCTTCACAGCTCCTTCCGCTTTCTCATCGAACAAAAAAATAATTAAATAAAAACAAATCTGCCTCATAAAATGCCAGATAAAGTGTGCATATCTGTCGCTTTGTTTTTTTCTGTGCTCAAATAGGATTTTATATACTTGTCTATAAAATATGAGAATTGGATTCAGATAGCCACAAAGAGTGTTTCTAGTGATCTCTTTGAGATCAAATGTAATATGCTAAAAAGAGATCAAATGTAATCTGCTTTCAATAGTAAGTGAAGATTCAGGGAAATGTGCGGAACTTGAAGGCTACTTGGCCTAAAAGAACCAAACCGCTAGGGTACGTGGAGCACTTCGATAATTCTGAAGTCCAAGGAAAGATCCGATTCCTTGAAGCTTTCCCATATAAAGATGTTCACAGTTCAGTCTTACGCAGGTCATGTAGAGCAGATCTGTATTGAACCTTGGGAAACCGCCAAGCCTGCCTCCCCTCCATCTTTGTCTCCTGCCTGCTGGCCATTGTGGCATCAAGCAGCAGTGAAGGAAAAGCTCACAAAACAAGATGCTGTTTTATGCTGTTTTAAAAACAATCTGGGCCGGCCGAGTGGCGCGATGGTTAAGAACTGGCTTGGGATGCCAGAGGACCCCGGTTCGGATCCCACATATGAGGGCCAGTGACACTGCCCTCCACAGCTAAGATGCTGAACAACAGCTCAACCTGGAGCTGGGCTGCCCTGAGTCCCCGGGACGGCGTAGGCTGCAGCTCCTGTGGCAGTGGGTTGCCATGGGACCCTATGCAGCCAGCAGCTAGCGTGAGCGGCCAGCAGCCGCAGTGAGTGGCCATCCAGAAGCCGGCGACTGATGTGCCTCGCCCGGGAAGAGCGCAATGATGGTGCCAACTTGGGCCAGTGAAGCAACATCCTCCACAACTAGACTGAAGAACAAAAGGACAGCAACTTGTCTGTTCCCCTTCCCCCAATTCCCCAGCGCTGTTCCCATCCCCCCAATTCCCCAATAAAAATCTTTTAAAAAAACCAACAATCTGACTCCCCTGAGTACAGATGTTTCTATCTTTATTTTTACCAGCTCTGTATATATAGACTATTTGAGTTACATGCTTTTTTTAGTCACCACTGAAGTTTGTAATAGCCAGCTCTGTGAAAATGCAGACCGTTTCCACTGTGTGCCTTTCATTACGGCCACAGAAGTTGGTAATAACCACTGACTTATCTTTCCTGCTTGCTCTTCCTTTCCACGTGCTCTTCTGTATATACGAGTACATGCGGACACACCAACACACACTCACACGCTGCCCTTCCGTGTCCCTGGCGTGCCAGGGATTTGTGAGGGTTTCGGCAGGGTGCTCATAAAATGCCCAACGATGAGCAAAGAGCCTGCCCATTGCCATAAAAAATACGGCTCCCAGAAAAGCAGTTAATTGAAGCCCAAAGCACATCCTGGATTCGCCTCCCTGATCAGGGAAGCTGTCGGGTCTCCGGGTCATACTCCATAACCTTCCTCCTTGGTGGTTGAAAGTCTGTTTTGTAGCTTGGAATAAAAACTGAATCAGAGTTAGTATCCTTGTGTGTTGTACAACCTCCCGAGGAAGCGGAGCAGGAAATGTAGGACTGTAAATTAAGACTGGATTGTGTGCCTTGTTCCGTTAGGCTTCTTAATGTGCCAGTGAGTAAATCACAGGACCTTTCTGCTGGTCAGGCTCCCAGCACTTAAACTGAAGGTTAATCACACTCTTCTGAATCTGGGGCATATAGAGTAGCTTCCGATTCTTGTGAATCAGGCAGCTTATAGTGACTTGCTGGATGGGAAGGGGAGAGGTGTGCCCAGGAACGGCTGGCATTTTCCCCAAGGAGCCTCATGTTGCTTACAAAGCAGAAATTTCTTTTTCTTCCTCGGAGTGTTTACCTGTCAAAACACCAAAGTTCAGGAAACTTTATAATAAGACAGATGTTAACATTTTTAAAAGTTAGACTCTGCTAAGAAAATTACATGTCAAAGATATTAATACACCTCATTCAACAAAATAAATCTTAATGATTGCAGTGAAGTATTCAACGCTGAGATTTAACTGCCTGAAAAGTTGGCTACTATCGATTATTAACAGCTGACAAATTTTATGATATATGTTGTCACCCAAATTTTTGCAAGAAAGACACAGATATAGGTACAGCTATAAATATGTGAACACAGAGACAAATGGAGTCTTCAGTGAAGCATGTTCTCATTTCGTAGGAAAAGGAATATCTGTGTGTGTTCCACTGCCTGTCTTGTTTTGCAAAAAGCAGCCAAGTTTCAAAGTGATTTTGTAGTCACCACAAAAATGCTGGTAGTTGAAAATATCAGCAGCCATTAGGCTAGAGGGACTGTCTTAATAGTGCTCTAAAGGGGATAAAATAGAACACCACAGTTCCATTCACATGGAAAGTGACAGAAGACTGAGTAGGATCCTGGGGGCCTGTTGTATTTCTGATCTGATAAAATACATTTTCTTGGGGAAACTGGACCTAAGCACATTAGCAGGTACGTACCTTCTCTGGCTTTTCCTAAACTCAATAAGCAGACAGCCAGTTTAAGATTGGTTAAGTCATAATTTACCAAGAATTACAATAGCAGCAGCAGTTCAGTATAATCACTAATTTACTCATTTGACATATCACATCATGGTAGAAGTCACTTCTTTGTGTTTACTAAGTCAGTAGTTCTTTACCTGGGACCTAATGAAAAAGCATCCATTTACTAAAAATAAGGCTTCAGAAGAACTAAAGTATCACATTTGTCCACTTTGAACTTGAATTACATAAATTCAGAAGCTCCAAGTAACAGCTAATCTAGCTCATCAATTACAAAATATTCAAGAAAGAATTGTTACTTAACAAATACAGACCACTTTTCTAAAGAAAATCTTTCTAAACAGGGGGAAGGAAGGCAGTAAAAAATATCTAGAAAAGAGAATCCTTTGTGGTGAAAAAAATCAGAGGTCACCACATTAGATTATCATTAGCATAGTTTGAGGGATACCCTATTGTAGAGGATTTAGCTTTCTGTGCAGTGAAGACTTAAGACTATTTAATATAATACATATGCACTCAATGAAGGGAAGTGGTGCCATCTAAAAGCAGTCGTTATCCCCATCTGACAGAAATAAAAATCTAATTTAATTTACTTTGTGTTTTGGGGACTGCAAGACCTTATAAATATGTGAGTTGGCTTTGGTATTTGTTTGGAAAGCTGCTTTAAGAAAATGAATTCTGAACAAAATGCTTGGTGCTGATACAGGGAACTTTCCTCTTTATTTGCCTCCCAATCCTCACCAGGGATGTTGGGGAAACTTAGCTACCCAAGCAGTGCTCTGGGAGGCCGCCATGTGCTACAACTCATATACTGCTACCCTTATTCCTAAGTAACAGAAACCACCGCTAATTTTATCCCTGTCTGTGACTTGGTTTATTAAAATCTGCATCTCAGCGTCTTTCTGGTACATTTACTGTCTTGTCCGTAGCTACATCTCTAGCTCCTAGTACAGTACCTGGCATATAGTTAAAAAACAAAAAACTAATAGCTGAACACTGAAATAGTGGATTTTATGATGTGTTGGGTACTACTCTAAGTACTTTACATATATTAACTCATTTAAACTTTGCAACAACCCTTTGAAGTAAGTGCTTATTCCCAGTTTACAGATGAGAAAACTGGTACAGGAAGGGCAAGCAATTTGCCCAGATGCACATCGCTAGTGAATGTCAGAGATGGAATTTGAACCCAGGCAATAAGGCTCCAGAGTTTGTGCTTTTCATTAACTTACACCTCCTTTTTTAGAAGGAAATCAATAAATATTTCTTGATTGGATAAATGAATGAATGAAAGAGGAACTTTTAATATAATATTTATTCCATTTTTATTTTTAAAATACGTTCATGCAAAATTGTGCTAAAGTCACATTGTGTGATATACAGCAGTGAGTAAAACAGGTTACAACCACATGCAATAGTGTGTGTGATTCTTGTAAGCATAATACTGAACAAGAGAAGGAAGACCTAAAGAGTACCTGCTGTACTGTTGCATTTATATAAGCAAAATAGGCAAAAGTGACCTGTGCTATTAGAAGTCAGATGCTGGTAACTCTTGGGGCTGGTTACTGGAAGCAGACAAAGGGGGTTCTGGGAACTGGGAATGTTTGTTTCTTCCTCTGGTGCTGGTTACATGGGTGTGTTCAGTTTGTAAAAGTTCTTTGAGCTATAATTTATGTGTACTTTTTGGTATGTAAATTCTACTTCAAGAAACAGTTTTTAAATGGCAAAAATAGAAGAAAAGGTTGAAACAATGAATAAGAGGTTGAAAGAATATTCACCAAAATGTTAACAGTATATATTTCTTGCACACAGCGCCATAAGTAATGTTTAGTTTCCTTTTTGAGGGTTCTTAGGTTTTCTAGATGTAATAAACTGATCATGTATTGCCTATGTAATAAGATTTTTTTAATGCAATAAAATAAACTCTCCCCAAATCAGTGACTGCCCCACCTAAGCATGCGTTCAACCCGTCCCGTGAGTATTGTCCCCTGATTGTGAGAAAAGACACCCACCTCATGAGCTGCCTGTTTCCCTCCTGGCTTTAGTTCAGAATCCTTCAAGCCTTATAGCATGTCTTCGGGGATTTGTAATTAACATTTTATGGGATCTTTGTGTTTTTATTTCCTTTGCCAGGCTGAACAGTCAAAAGAAGAGCAGAAGCAAGATTTGAATGCCGAGAAATTGATGAGGCAGGTCTCCAAGGACGTGTGTCGCCTCCGCGAACAGAGCCGGAAGGTTCCCCGGCAGGTGCAGTCCTTCAGGTAAACGGCCCTGCCTGTGGGGTTGTCCGCATGTGGTCTGAATTATGTAGGAGTTCACCTCAGAGTGCTGGAAGTTACTATCAGGATATGAGACGCCAAACCCTGTCCTCCCAGACTGGACGTCTAAGTCTCCATTTGCTCCTTCCTGAGGGTACAAACCCCACTGGCAGCAGTCCTGGCCCCCAACGAACCCAGGGGGTCCCCAGCTCTCAGAAGCAGTTAGCACATCTCATGGACAGATCTTGATGCAGAATACAAAGAAGTACAGAAAAGACATTTATCAGGGTTTTGCCCACTCATCCCAGAGACACTCCTTGGGCACCCCCATAAGCCGCGTGCCGTGCTGGGCCCTGAAGCACACATGCGCCTGCTCACAGGGCTCGGGCTGTGGGGAGGGGCAGGGAAGCACACCGTCGCAGCGCCGGTAGGGCCGAGCCCACCGAAGGCCTAAGTTGGGCCCTGCCAGGGCGCACAGGAGGAACCTAAACCTGTGCAGGGCCCGCAGAAGCTAGCAGGAGGTTATAAAACAGGCAGTATTTGCACCATGGCGGAGGGGTACGAGCTTTTCAGGCACTCGGGGGGTAGGTTGAGGAGGGCCTCACGGCGGAGGGACCAGCATGGACGGAGGCACAGAGCCTTCGCAGGCAAGACAAGCTCCGTGTGCGTGCGGGAGCGCCAGCTGCTGAGCCTGTGGGGCGGCTTGGCTCACTCCACACAGGGCCTGGCCTGCTTTGTCCGAGGTGTTCACCCAGGGGTTTAGGTGATGGGAGAGCCAGCTGGGGTCTCCAGGCACAAAAGCACGTGGAGGGGATAGATTTTATGTGGGGCCAACCTTACAGGCATCACGGAGAGGGCCCAGGCTGGAGCTGGAAAGGAGGAAGCCAGTCAGGTGATGGGAGTGTGATTGGAGGTGAGTGGGCAGAGGGGCGGTGGGAGGGGGCGGAGCACCGCGTCCAGGTGCCCGCCCTGGAGAGTGGGGAGCTGGATCGCTGTGAGGGAGGAAGTTGTGCTTTGGGGCATGGCAGACTAACAATTCGGTAGGACAGCCCAGGTAACCATCGCCAGGAGACAAGTAGAAATAAAAATCCAAAGCCAGGATTAAGGGTCAGGAGAGGAGATTTAAAAATGGGGTCTTGGCTGGCTGAGTGGCTCAGTTGGCCAAGAGCTCGCTCAAGAGTGTGAGCTCTGAGCAACAGGGTCGCCGGCTCAAACCCCGGCTGGAGCCGAGCTGCCGCTGAGCTACCAACAGGTAGCAGGATGGCTCAGCTAAAAAAAATAAAAATTAAAAATAAAAGTGGGGTCTTCATCCTACATGCAGCAGCTCTATCAACGGAAATGGGTCAGACATCCCAGAAAATGTGAAAAGGCGGGCAGGAGAGGCGGTGTGGCAGATGCCAGCCATTTGAGGGGCTCCCTCCCAGCCAAAAAGATGTGAGAAGGAAGAGTCCGAGAGGTCAGAGGAGAACCAGGACAGCGTGGTCCTGGGGCTGAAAGGAGGGGCGGTTGATACTGTCAAATGCAACAGGAAAGGAGTGAATTGAAAAACACACCACTGCCAGCTAGGTGATCAGGAGGCCACTGGTCACCATTCAGGGACAGTTCAGTCAAGTGAGAGGGCCACAGAAACGGTTTGTTTTCTTGGTTTGGGTTTGGGTTTGGGTTTGGGTTGTATAGAGGAGTCTGTAGAAAGCTGTTAGGCTGCAGGAGGAGACGTGTGGAGCTAGACATTGCGATGCAAGGTGCGGCAGCCATCGTGGGGAGGGGACAGGACTGGGCTGCAGGCGGAAGAGTGACGTCAGAGGCGGAAGGCGGAGGTCAGTGCTGAAGGAGCCCAGCGTGGAGGGAAAGGAAGCTGAGGCGTCCTGGGCTTCAGACTTTGTTTAATATGACTGTTTAGAGTAGAGTCAGGTTTCTCCTGCCGCCATGCTGCTGCTGAATCACTCCTTTAACTATTAGAGAATGCTGCTCTTCGGGTTTTTATGACTGGAGGGTGGTGAGAGGAATCTTTATGGTCTCTCTCAGGTAAGCAACATCGTCCAGCATGGAAGTCATACAACCTCCAGCTGCTGCTAAAACCCAAAGTAAAGATTTATAAACACTCGAGTGCCCCGTGACGTACAAACTCATGTATGTCACCGGGCAGGTGATGAAAATGAGTGAGAGATGGACCAGATAAGACAGATTGTACTGGGGACGTGGAGGCACCTGGTCGCTGTGGCCGGGCCTGGGACAGTGAGCCAGTGGGGAGCAGTGGGGCAGGGGCGCCCTGCCCGACACACAGGCGACTCCGCCGCGCGGCCTGTTTCATCTGGAACCAAGCACCCTGTGTTCCCTGGTCTTCTGACTTGTCCAGGGAAGTTAGAAATCAGGAATTTTATGTGAAATATCTTACATGTGGATACTGGCGACTAATTCAGGCATTTAAAAAACACTATGGTAGTCAAAGAAACCCACTTCCAGGAAGTGTTGGAGTGGGGGGTCCCCAGTTTTCAGTTCTGCCTTGTAGCCTTCAGTGACATGACGACCGCGCCCACTTGCCTTTTTAAATTCTTATTTTTATCGGTTCTGGAATCGAACAAATCAAAAGGATACTTATACCGCAAAAAAAACTGAGTTCAATTTCCATAATTTTTCACTCTTACTTTTCTTCTCTCCCTTTTCCTTATTCTTTTTCACTTCAGTTCTTGCTTCTAGCCCCACGCTTTCCCCCCCCCCCCATCTAGACGGTTTGTTTTTCTCAGAGTGGGGCTCATGCCTCGTTCTTCTTCAAGGCCACCAACATGCCCTGCGTACACAACACACCCTCAGTAAATGCGTGTTGATGGGATAGTGTGTACGAGGTGAAGGTTTTGTAGAAAAAACAGACAATCCTAAAGCATTTTTTTTTAACACTCTCCTAACTTCTGAAAACCATTCTGCCCCTTTTTTTCTCAGCCTTCTCCCTTTTGGGTTGTTTCTACGTATCCCTGCTTCGGGATGCAGGACAGATTCACCTTTATGACAGTCAGGTTCTTACTCTCTCCATTTGAACCATGGTATTGTTCATCAAGTTACATAATCCTGATTTTAAAGAATTTTCCCGGTATCGTGTAATTTTTCTGAGAGGTTCCTGAGAAATTTCCTAGGATTTCAGCCCTCTTATATCCTCTACTACCTGGTTTAGAAACACTCATACCTGGGCTGACCCCCCCAATGGTTTAAAAACTGTCTTACATTGGAAATCCTGGAAAGGAACAGACTGTCTGGGTCTGTAGATTATGTACCAGGAGCCAGAGCCGCTGCCCTGCTTTGCATCCTGATGTAAAGGGCAGAGACCATCTTGATTTTACATGGAGTTCTACCTCAGGAAAAAAGCTCCTGTCCGGGCTTGTGGAGACTCCTAGAAATAGCCTTGGAACTATTTCTAATGGTCACAGAGTATTTTCGGCATTGCATTTAAGTGAGCTGATTTCTCACCCCGACCCTAGGGAGAAGATCACCTACTTCACCAGAGCGAAGATAAGCATCCCGTCCCTGCCAGCCGATGACGTGTGATTACATTGCTGAAGAAATGATTTGTTCACCTGTTCATTTCTTAGGGAGAGCAAAAGACAGAACATTGGGGGTTTTTTTGGGGAGGGGGGGCGGCGAGGTTGTACTATAACTGTCAACTCTTAAAGAGCTTTTACTTCACATCAGATTTTCAACATGTAATTTCTAAAGTATCTTGAATGTAATTCTTATATGTTTAAAAAAGCAAAAAAATCAGATAACCAAAATGGAATAATCTGGTACACAAATGTGTAAGTGTGTGTGCACTGCCAGTGGGCTTTGTTTTGTAAAAATGGAATCGAGGCAGTACCCAGTGTATATCCTATTGAGCTGATTGTTGAGAAATAACTCGGCTTAGCAGAAGGTGGTTTTTGCTTTTCCTTTGTGTTCTTGTGAGTAGACTGTGAAGAGGCAACAGCGGCATGTGACATTTTTGTACTAGAGAGCAGCTCTTTTAGTTTGAAGTTGAACATGAGCATACGCTTCAGTGCAGAGTTCCAAGTCCACCTGAAACAGGTGCTGTATTCATTTCTGTTGCCTACGTTGGAACACTTTGTTTCCTTAAAACAGTTTCCTTTTTGTCCTTTTCTGTTTGTCTAAAGAGAACAAAACCAAAATGCTGAGTTCCAGAACATGAGAATGCACAGGAGCGTTCCTCCTGGCCGCGCTAAAGATCTTGTGATTTATGACAATAAGGGTAGGGAGAGGAAAGGAGAAAGCCAGTTACCCTATAATGCACTGACACTCATCAGTGAGCGGCTGCTGCTTCTGACTCAGCCTGAGTTAGGGTAAGTGTTCAGATGGGAGCTCCTGGCTTGCACAGCGTGTTTCACCCTAGGTATCAGGATGGCGTCAAGCAGAAGAACGTGGTGGCCCATGTTCTAAGGACAGAATTGTGATGACATGGAGGGAAACACATCAGCAGTCATTTGGGGAAACCAGGAACAGAGGAAAGGGCCTTTTGATGGAATCAAAGTTGCCAAAAAAAAATTTTTTTAATCCTTTATTTAACAGATTTCTAACATTTACTAGCAGTTACTTTGCGGCTCTCATATAGGGGATCCTATCTATAATTTATGGTAAGGAGCTGCGCGGCAAAGAGAAGAGGGTGCCTGGGAGATTATTAATTTCATGTACAGACTGTCATTTGTTTAAAAAAAAAAAAAAGCCATCCTAGATTAACAAATTTAGAGATGTGAACTCACTAAAGCATCTTCCAGTGTAGAACTTAAGCTCACCCAATCCAAGCTCTTCTTAAAAGAAACAAATCCCCGGGGTAGCTCTGCCAGCATAAAGACTTTTAAAATAGTTGTATGCAATTTAAGTCATACTTATTACTCAATCTGTAATACTGGCAGAGGCGATTTTTGGTTAGCCATCTTTTATAGCAATCTAAGTCAGTTTTTTGGGGTTTTTTGGAAATGCAAAAATCATCTTAAAGGAACGAGCCCGTTTCCTATTCTATGGGCCCCAAGTTCTAGTCCTAAGCCTCATTAGCAAGAATTTTTATTTCCATGAAAAGTAATTATACATACTTTGGAAAGTTAATTTTATCAGAATCAAAATTCAAATTAAGCAATTCCTGAGCCTGGAACTTTATTTTTTTCGTAAGTGTCCCACCACTTATATACACATGTCTTTGAAGCTATAACTGGACGTGACACTACTTTGAACAAAAACCAGCCTCGTGAATTGACTGAGCACAGTCCTTCCAGGCTGCCCAGTTATTCTATTAGACGAGTAAGGAAAACTGGGAAAAGAATACCATTCATCCTTGTCAAGGTCAAATGTGAAAGACAGAAGTTTATTTAATGTAGAGTTAAATGAAGGTCAGCTGTTTTCAGCTTCTTAATTTGACCGTGAAAATGTTTATAGACTATGTGTAGTTGTACCGTACGATTTTATTTTCATTTATTTATTTACGGTCTTATTTATGTTCTGTTTAATATATAGTTCGGTTCTGGCCATTTTAAATGTTGGACATAGAAAAGCCTATATTGGAATATTTACAGCTTTATGAATCATCAGATTAGCTGTTTACTTTTTGTAATACAAAAAGTTTCTGACAAGTATAAAAGAATAAAATCTGTCTCAGGCTGGTAGTTAACAATTGTGACCACAATGCTTTCGGCTTTATTGTACAAAATTTGCTCATTTCTAACATGAGAAACTTATTTTAATATTATCCTTTTCCACACTTTAAAAATCAGCAATTGTGTTATGTATTTATAGGCAGCTTTTAACAATCTTGTCATATTTGTACTAACCAAAATGATTCACAGTGACAAAACATTTTAATAACTTGATCACAAAACCATATGGACAATATGAATTTTAATATTATAAATGCTATTTTTAAAGGTAGAATTTATTCTGCACAGGGTAAAAAGAATGTAATATTTAGTTCTCAAGTTTGACTTATCAATATGTTATTATAATTTTGTATATCAGAATCTAAGTGTTACAGGTACAAAAAGAATGTTGCTAGCCAGATGAACAAAGTTTAGCTGAATCTCTGTAGCATGCAAATCAAATAAATTTAAAATCTTTTTTTTTTTTTGCTATTACTTTATATTGTATTAAATATCAAAAGCTCAGGACTGAACTAAATATTTAATCAGGTTAAATTCTGAATATGTTTCTGTTTTAATGTCTTGTTTGTAAAAGTGTGCAAATACATCACATAGATTAACTTTGGTTTCTGCACTTTTCATGTGTTTGTGGGTGGAAAACAATTCACTGGGTTTTTGGGTTTTTTTTAAACAAAGATACATATTGCCTAATACTTTATTTCAGTGTCGTTTATTGTTCAGTTAATTTCCCTGATTGGCTCAAACACGAGAATTTACTTGAACCGTGTACCAAGCAAATATAAAACCTTTCATGAAAAATTCCCCAAGCCAGCAGTTTGTCATGAATACTTCTTGGTTGGATGATGCGTATTGCTGATTAAAAAAAAAAAAAAAAGATGAGTATTTTCTTTGTGCAAGTAAAACAAAGAGCCCCAAAATATGAGCTCTGTCATTGCACCGCCTGGAGGCAGTGTGCTCCCTCGGTGACCCGGGTCCAGGAGGGACTCTGCCCACACACCCCAGTTCTGACCTGCAGTGCCCCCTTGTGGCTGCCCCACAGAACGGCGGGGGGAGGAGGATGTCGTGACACATTGGCTATCTATAGCAGAGCACAGAACACAAAAGCAAAGGCACTTTTGTGTGGTAGATTTCATGTGAATCCTCCAAAACAGAAAACTGCCCTCCTCTGCTTCTGACATGGTAAATAAGGCTTGAATGAATGTGGATGACTTGTGAGAAAGGCTCCATAGAGGCCTTGAGGTCTCTGATTAATAAGATGATGTGTCCCACATGTCACCTCTCCAGCTTTCAAAGAGCCAGCAATTTTTTCAGTATAATCAGATGTTGTACATTTTAAATAAATATGCAGCGAGACTATAGTTTCATATAATAGGTGATCTGAAACACTTGAAAGAAGTAAATGATTAGCAGTAACATTTCCAATTCCCACAATATTCATCTCTATGAATAACACCTTCAAAGATAACAGAAGTACTAATAGAATGTTTTATTTACTAGTTCTGTACAATCACTAAATCTATTTTAAAACTGAGAAAACTCATCAGTAATGAGTAAAATTACTATTAAGCCTTGATTGGTTTTGGTCTCAGACTAGAAGATAAAAGTGGTTTATCGTCTTAGAAAGAAATCACAGTTTAAGAAATTAATAGCCACAGGGAGGATGCATTTTAGAAAATCATTTAAGCATAATGGCTGGGTGACTATACAGTAGGAAATCCTACCAAATCCAGGTTGAGTGAGCATTTCCTGAGGAGTGGACACCACTGATCTCATCTGGCTTAGATTTCCAGGTGGGTGTTTTTCATCTCCAGGTGTTGACGGAGATACTGCCTTTCTGCCACTGCGTAGTGGCCAGAAGCTATGGGAGCTTGGGAGGAGCAGGCCACACAGTTCAGCAGACATCCTCCTAGGAGGAGAAAAAAACCAGCAAACCAGCCGATGAAGAGCGCATCCCCAAACTCCCACCTGGGCACGATCTCTGGGATGGTCTCATCCCAGAACTCCTGGACTGTCATGTAGGCCACCCAGGAGACCGGAACAAGGGCTGCGATGCCTGCTGTCCAGAGGAGAGTTCCTCCCAGGATTAACAGTCGTTTCTTGAGTTCGTGCTGTCTCTCTCCAATTCTCAAGCAGTCCAGCCCAAACCCGGAGACCAACAGGCCCAGAAATCCCAGCCCATTTGACAAAAACATTAAAATCCTGGAGATCCTGAGCTCGGCAGGCAGAGCCAAGAAAGAATCAAAGTCCTTGCATTGCATCCCACCTTCTTCTTGGATGACACAGGTTTGCCAGAGTCCCATGGTCCAGTTTTCCATTAAATTTAAGTCCAGGTTGAGGTTTTTCCAATGTGGCAGGTAGTTTGTAAGACAGGATAAAACCCATCCCAGCAAAGATAATGAAATTCCAGCCAATTGTGCCACAGTTCTAAATACTAAAGCCATTATAAAGTCCTGCAAGCTTTAGTCAAACTACCTCTGGCCTTTCGGTTGCTGGAAAAAGTGTGATGCTTGTGTTATCACTTACAGAGCTCAGAAATGTTTTTTTCATTGTGTATGTAGGAGGATTCTTGCCAGAGTTGCTATTGTTTGATTCTATGTTGAATAGGTTTCAGAAAAGGATAGGGAAATAATTCTCCAAACCAGTAATGCCAAGGTGTGGCCAAGATCAATTTTCTAGTAAGCAGTTTGTCCCCAAAATAACATTAAGTAGTAATAATCCTTTCATTGTTAATGTTTAAATGGCTTTCATGTTGTTCCCAACCTTTCTCACAAGCCAAAGAATTAAAAAGTCTAAATGCAAAATGTTTAATAGTTCTGTTCAATTCCTACCGTTTTATCTCTTACTAACTGCACCTGGTTAGATTTTCATCTGTTACAGTTCTCACATTCTCGGTACATATATTGTGGTAACTGAGTGTTGCCATTTTTGAAAAATAGGTTCAAGAAAAGTATTTCTTAACCAAATAAATGAATCTATCACAAATCCCTCTAGACCTTAAATCAGGCCTTTTTTATTATTATTCCTTAGGCTATATATGCCACATAACATGAAACAATGTTGAACTAAATATCAAATCTGTTTACCTATATACCTTTCTGTCAAATTCATACACGTATGCATAAACGTTTGTTTGTTTTTTCTTTGCTTGAAGATGCTTTCTATACTGTGGAAAAGTTAAGCAAAAGGACTTTATAGGTTACAATCAACATCTCTTGATGCACAGCTAAAGTATATACAAAAGCTTATAATTTTTAATTCAACAAAGGAAAGTTTTTAGTGAAGCAAGTGAACTGTCAATAACTCAATATCAAGCAAAAATTCTTTAATTGTTCATCTTTTTTAAACAAAGCTTTTGAGAGACAGAGAAAAAAAGTTTCTGATGGAAGAGACAAGAGAGGGGATTGGCCAGTATTTTGAATCTTAGAGTATCAGCATGTACTGAATGGAAACCTTTCAGCTTCATAAAACCCTGTCACACAGGGTGCCTTGTAATTTCCTAAACACAAACCACCTCTGATCAAAAAGGCCCAAGTCACTACTATGGAAATAGTACTTTGGGGTAGATTTAACCTGTGGTTTGGCCAATGTAGGATGCTTGAAAGATTTCAGTTTGTTAGTTTTTCTCTTTAGGAAACAAACTAATTATCATTGTCAGCTACCAACAAAAACAAATAGAAAAAGTTTCTAATATAAAATGAACACATGAAAGCTTACTACTGACTATTGGATATACCACCACATTTTGATTTAAATAACCAGGATGCTGAAACTTTTTTGCTCATACCTATTTAATGCTTAACATAATAATTGTCTTTTAGATATAAGACTGCCTCGTCTCCCTATTGGGAGGGGGTGGAAATCTAGGGTAGAAAAGTAGTTATTAAATGAGAAAAGGCGAGCAGCACAGATTTAGTTACATCACAAAGACCCCTTTCTCATGTAGACCCCTCCATCACATTTGATGCAGAAAATACTCCCCTCTGATCTTGTCAAAGTCACACTTCCGGGTCTGCAGTTCCATTTTCCAGGTATGGACACTGCGTTTCTGCCACTGCATAGTGGCCAGAAGCTATGGGAGCTTGGGAGGAGCAGGCCACACAGTTCAGCAGACACCCTCCTAGAAGGAGAGAAAACCCAGCAAACCAGCCGATGAAGAGCGCTTCCCCAAACTCCCACCTGGGCACGATCTCTGGGATGGTCTCATCCCAGAACTCCTGGACTGTCATGTAGGCCACCCAGGAGACTGGAACAAGGGCTGCGATGCCTGCTGTCCAGAGGAGAGTTCCTCCCAGGATTAACAGTCGTTTCTTGAGTTCGTGCTGTCTCTCTCCAATTCTCAANTGTAGGCAACGCCCATCAGGCTGAAGGCCAGGTCCTGGTCCGGGTGCCTCTTCGGAAGCTAAGGAGTAGAGAGGGGTGAGCTCCATGGCAACGAGGCAAGGGCACCACTGAACCCCTGGTTGACCACTTCTGCGTGCTGACATTCCATCATGCAAATCTTCTCTCATCTAGTCTTAAGTAAGCAACACGGGGAGAAGACAGTCTCTCCATGGAGACTGAAAAGGGTGGAGGAGTGAATGAAGCCCCAACTATTTTCACCCACCTCTCTCCCTCCTCTTCCTGTCCTGACTTTTGTCCTGCTCTGATATTGGTGCCTCAGACACGCACCAATGACCTGAATTGTTGCTGCTGATTTCTGTGGCAAACGAACAGGCAATGATTTTTCCAAAGCCTTTTGGGAAAGAGGAGAAAAAAGAGCTTGTTATTTTTGTTAGTTCCTCTAATCCATGCCTCTCTCTCCAGGGCTGACGGGGAGGTGGGGAGCAGAAGCCTGTGTCAGTCCATGATCTTGACCGGAAGCCTTTATCAGTTTTCTTATTGTAGAAAACCATCTCTATGTACCAGAGGCAGACTTCCATGATGTTAATAAGATTAAACTTTGGGGCCCCTCATCTGCATGAGTGCATTCCAAACTCTTAGAGGGGGCCTAGCAGTTGGTTCACATGCTAGTATTTTTTTGTTCAATTTGCAAGAATAATATATTTTCACTGCAAATGATCAAGACCATAGCTCCTTCCTACTGTGTCCCTTTATCACCCTTCCTCTCACTTTTCTTCCCACCCATCCCATGTCGGTCAGCACTGGAGCATCTCCTTTTGGGGGGATTCAACTAAAGAGAAAATGAGTTAGGGGTACATTTAGTTGAGGTTAGTGGAAACATTTATGTGGCTCTCAGTTACTTCCAAATATTAAGCCCCTGACAGCCAGTCCCATTGTAGGAAGCCCCTAGGAGTTCCCCCACGGAAGATGCTGGCCCAGAGGTCCAATGGCAGTAAGAACGTGACCTACCCGGGTTGGCACCGAAAATATGCAGGCAGTGTGAGGAGAAACAAGTTTGAAATGTACAGAGCCGAAAGCTGGTCTGCAGAAAATCCTTTCAATCCTCAGATACACAAAATTGTAAGTAGAGGATTCAGTTCTCATTAACACCTTGTCAAAATAGAAGTTCTCTCCTGTTTGAAACACAGTTCATAATGCATCATACACCACTGTAAATGCACCATATTTCTTTTGGTGAGGGAATGATATGAAATAGAATTTATCAAAATCCCTGTGTTTGCAGACACAAATCTCTAGCAGTACTTCAAGCAGAAAGTACATCTGTGTGTGAAGCTGCATGTTTTATGTACCCAATGTATCATGTCAAGTGTTGGTGTATCTGACACATCTTTTGTCGTGATGATGTCTGTCAGTTCCAGATAAAACATTAACACAAAGAATTGTATGAACGAACACAATGAAATAACCTGAAAAGACAAGTATTTCCAGTGACAAACCTGCCCGTATTCATCAGTAAATCAATGTACTTCATCCAAGAATTATTTCCTATCACATCTGTGCAGCTCAATGCAACAAAGAACAATTTAAAATGCACTTGAATTGCTCATGAGCATAGCTTCATGTTGCAATTCTTTTCTTAAAGTACACCCTCAAAATTGCATCTGCATCAGGACCCACAAAACCTGGATCTGCCTGTTCTAAATACCCGTGTCTTGAGCCAAAGTGGGAAAACAAAAGGTAGATGGGAGGAGCACCTTTCGATTAAAAAAAAAAAAGGTATGATTATTTGTAGGTGTAAAGAGTATTCCTACACATTTAAACTGAACATAAAGCATATCTGTATCGATATTTCTTACAACTGGCCCACTTTACTCATTCATGTTACCTGCCTGGCCCCTGTGAGTATCTGCCACCTCAAAAATTGTGTGAGCTTGACCCCGAGGCAAATGACAGNGAAATAGGAGAGAGAACAAGAAACATTTGCTGGTGGTTCTGTAAGGTTAGAGATCATGGAAGGCTACCAGTGGCAGAGAGAAAACAGCTCAACCAAGAAGGGTCTTTTCTTCCATCCTAAGGAATTTGAATTTTATCCTAAAAGCCAAGGGGAGGCCCTGAGGGATTTTAAACGAGCTGACCCTCTGAAGAGTTAATACACCAGCATTCCACTGTTCACCCTCAGTTTTATAGTGTATCTGAAAGAAAACGTGTGTTTTTCTTTTGTCATCTCAAAAAGTATTTGTAGTAACGTTTGTCTGGATCTTGGGCTATAGTCGATTTTTCCTGAAGCAGTAGTTATGATTTCGTATAGGCAGCTGGCTAGATAATAAATGCTTGCTCCTGCAAGATTTTTTCCTCCCCATTTCTTTTCTCATTTTGTGCAATCATTTCCAAAAAGAGCCCACCAATTTTATTCCCTCCTCTGAGGTCCCTGATGTGGATGGACATACGGCAGGGCCTTTTGCAGCATTTAGGGCAAAGCACTTGGCTGAGCTGTCAAGTCAGTGTGAGGGTAATCAGCAGATTTATTTGAGGAAATGTATTTATGGTACTAAATGGCTGTTCTAAATAGGGCCATTATCTGGCCTTTTCACTGTTGCTATAAATGTCTCTCCAGAGCGTGGATACCCACAATAAGTCCATAATGCTTCCCGGACATGACTTCAAGACAATATATATGCTGGTTCCAGTCAATGCACATGCATGTGCTTGGGTCATTTCAATAGTGTTTCTTGAATGCTTCGGCACAAACTCAATGCCAGATACTTTATTAAATGTTTCCAGGGCAATGAAAGGCAGAAAGGGGCGTGGGGGGAGCAAAGCTGAGATTTGTTGAATAGTCAATGGAGACTAGGGGTGGAAATGCAACCCTAAATTATTCATAGCTTGTAATAAGCCAAGGAGAAATCATAGCCATATATCTTGGAGCCACTTCAAAGGATACCATCTTACTTCTGGTCCCGGGGGTAACCTCTCCACTAGAGTTTAGTGAGAAAAAGCCCAGCTGAGTGGGAAACTTCCAGAGGATAATCTGTAAGCAACAAGAGGCTGAAACTTTTCAGGCTGAGCCCTCTGAAGGCCTTGGATAGCTGCACCACCATCCAAATGAAAACTCTGGTTTACCTGGGCCTAGATCCCACTTTGCAGATACACTGTGAAACATAGCTGCTTTGAGAGTTCTTACAAAATGGCTGTGCCAAACCCCAAAACGCCTTTTCCATACACTCTTGTTTTGCTGCCCCACCTCAAAAGCATGTACAATAGAAATAGGAACAGATTCTCAAAGCATGTACGAGTTTATATTTATTTTAAAAACTGTGTATATATAGGCACAAGCATGCTTTTTTGTTTTGTTTTGTTTTTAAGATATTTTTTATTGGGGAATTGGGGGAAGGAGAATA